ACTGTTGACCGAAGCAATATATTCGTCCAGAACCCCCTTTCTGCACCGCTTACACTACTTGCCGGCGAATGTCTCGGTCGAGTGGAGAACCTTGATTCTTTATTCCTTAACATGCCAGATGAATCGTGCAGTAGCGCCTCGACCGAACTTCATGCCCTTTCCCCACTAGAATGTTCGTCGAGTGACATCTTCTCGAGTTCCATTGCCGACACCTTAAGTGCTCAAGAACGCGCCGAGCTTCTTAATTTCCTCCAGCACTTTGCAAATTCATTCGACGTTTCTCAGCCGCAATTGGATCGCACTTTCGCAGTGCACCACTACACTGACACCGGTTTGCATCAGCCATTGCGTCAAAGACTGTACCGTGTCTTTGCTGCAGAACATCACGTCATCAACGACCAGGTCGAAGAGATGCTACGCCGTCGCGTTATTCAACCATCGCACAGTCCTTGGGCATCTCCTGTTGTTCTAGTTCGAAAGAAGGATGGATCGATTCAATTTTGCGTCGACTACCGACGATTAAACAAGGTGACGCGGAAAAACGTCTATCTATTACCGCGCATCGACGACGCCCTTGACAGCCTCCAAGGAGCCGAATTCTTCCTCTCCTTAGACTTACTATCTGGATACTGGCAGGTTCCTATGGCAGAAGTTGATCGCCAGAAAACTGCGTTCATTACACCAGATGGCCTGTACGAATTTAACGTAATGCCTTTTGGGCTTTGTAACGCTCCTGCCATGTTTGAACGACTCATGGACAACACACTGCGTGGACTGAAGTGGCCTGTGTGTCTATGCTCCCTCGACGACATTGTCGTTTTCTCTCCCGATTTTCCTACACATCTGCTTCAGCTCCAACTGGCTCTGACGTGTTTAACCAATGCTGGGCTCAAACTAAACCTTAAAAAGTGCCACTTCGCGCAAGAGCTGTCCATCTTAGGACACATGGTGTCCAAGCATGGTGTTCTACCCGACCCTGCAAAACTGCGAGCAGTCGCTGAGTTCCCGAAACCTACTACACTGAAAGAATTACGCAGTTTCGTCGGACTATGCTCGTACTTCCGGCGCTTTGTTCGAAATTTTGCGTCGGTCATGTCACCACTGACCAACCTTTTACGCGGTGACGCAGACCTTTCATCCTGGTCTCCTGACTGCGATGTCGCGTTTGCCACGCTCCGTAGTCTGCTAACACTTCCTCCCATTCTTCGGCATTTCGACCCAACAGCTGCAACGGAAGTTCACACAGAAGCTAGCGGGGTTGGTCTTGGCGCTGTCCTCGCCCAACGCAAGCCGGGCTACTTCGAATACGTCGCCCCTTATGCGAGTCGCACGCTCACTAAAGCTGAGGCCAATTACAGCGTCACTGAAAAGAAGTGCTTGGCGCTAGTGTGGGCGCTTCGCAAGTTCCGCCCTTATTTGTATGGTCGCCCATTCGACCTGGTAACGGACCACCATGCACTTTGCTGGCTGGCCACATTGAAAGATCCTTCTGGCCGCCTAGCTCGGTGGGCACTGCAAATCCAGGAGTACGACAGTCGCGTCATTTATCGCAGCGGACGCAAGCATTCTAACGCCGACGCCCTGTCCCATTCACCTTTACCTCCCGAATCGGCCTGCGGAACCACCGGTACCAACTCCGTCACATCTCTCGACCTCGACTCCTTCGTCAGTGAACAACACAAGGACCCATGAATCGCTTCCCTTTTTGACTGTCTCTCTGGATCGTCAACCACTGCGGTATCGTGATCTCTTCGACGTCAAGCTGCTCATTTCGCCATTTGTGATTGGCTGCTACACCGACGCAAGTGCGCCCCTGAAGGTTGCAAGTGGCTCTTGGTTGTCCCCCACAGCTTGCGATCACAAATATGTGCCTCCTTTCACGACGATCCCCAATGTGGCCATGCCCGAGTTTTCAAAACTTACAAACGTATTCGCCATCGCTTCTACTGGTGCGCAATGTATAATTTAGTTCAAAAATTCGTTATGGGCTACCTTGACTGTCATTGCCGCAAATCACCGCCTTTCCACTCGTCCGGTGCGCTTCAACCGCTTTTGTGCCCTGCCAAACCTTTCGATCGGATCGGAATTGATCTCTATGGCCCTCTATTGGCAACATCAGATGAAAATCGGTGGATCATAGTCGCTGTGGACTATTCTGTGGACTATTCGCTGTGGACTATACGCTACACTGAGACCGCCGCCCTTCCAAGTGTCAGTGCGCGGGACGTGACGTCCTTCGTTCTCCATCGCTTCATACGACATGGTGCACCTCAAGGACTACTAGATGACCGAGGTCGAGCCTTCCTATCAGAAGTTGTCACGGCTCTGCTTTCTGAATGTCATGTTGTTCATCTCAAGACCACGGCATACCACCCGCAGACTAACGGGCTCACGGAGAGATTTAATCGCACCCTCGGTGATATGCTCCCGATGAATGTGACATCTGATCATACTAACTGGGATCGCATTCTTCCATTCAATCACGTTCGCATACAACACCGCGGCACAGTCTACCACCGGATTTTATCCTTTCTTTCTTCTTTATGGACGCGAACCATCCCACATTATCGACACTCTCCTTCCATACCGTGCTGACGCATCCGAATGCCCAGCTGTGTCCGAAGCTGCCCGAAAAGTGGAAGAGTGCCGTGAGCTCACACGCACCTTTACGTCACAAGAACAGCAGTGCCAGAAAGAAAACAATAGTGACTCTTCACGAAGCCACAGCTATTCCCCGGGATCACTTGCATGGCTGGCTGTTCCTTACCAAACCTCCGGCCTTTCCTCAAAACTAGTGTCAAAGTGCGAGGGCCCTTACCGCGTTTTGAAGCAAACCTCGCCGGTGAATTTTCTCATTGAGCCACTTTCTCCATCTGACGACATGCGCCGGCGTGGATGTGCCACGCCGCCCGCCTTAAGCCATATCATAGCCCTCTGCCTACAGACTCTTAGGTCGCTAGGATGGCTTTTTTTCGGCGGGGGCAAATTGTGAAGAAGAAAATGCATAGTTGGCAAGCAACATCGCCACCGCACTTGGGTACTGGGTTCTGGGCTTCTCTCGCTCGCCTCGTTTCATTTCTTCCCTTCCACCTCTTTCTCTCCTATGGTCACGAATGAAACCGTATGATTAGAGAAATCGCAAATGAATGAATATGCATTCCAAGTTGCCGCATCGATGCTTGATTTTCAAAAATAAGGCAAGTGTTTCACAAGGTCAGTGCAGTAGACTGTGTTGTGAGGGAAAGGAACAAGATGTTCTTGGGAATAAGGCATAGAAAGTTTTTCTTTACCCTTATATTTATTGACATTATAGTCTCCAATAACTAATACCGGTGTGGTTTGATGGGTAGTTCATGAAAGGTGCGAAGTGCGTGATGTCTTTGGCAAGTGCAATATGAGAGACACACACAATTATTAGAAACAAGCCATTGCACAATTCAGAGGCACAAAGTTAATCAACGTCATGCAAGGTACGGAAGATTGTGGTGTCCCTTGTGCAGAGCCCCATATGCAAGTGGATAGCCATGAACAACACTTCGTTGTGGTCCCCGCGAATGCCACAGGAGTACTAGTGCTTAGCTTTTACTTTGACAGCGCGTCCTTCAGATTTCGATGTCGGCAGCATTGAGCCTTCGCTTGGGCAGCCCATTTGGCAATTGTGGCGCAGGAAGCTATTGCACCAAATACATCACTTACTGTTAAAGAACTATGGGAATGAGTAGATCACGCAATGCCACACGTGTTTTTTTTTATCCTTTGGGGGTTGGTTCCTTTTACTGCCTATATCAATGCTAAATACAGGAACAGTTACGTTGCTGAGTCTGAAAAGCATGCGCTTTTCGCAAACGGAGACTGCAATAATTGCAGTGACCCTTGCGTGCCCAGTAATTACAGCAGAATCGTTCCAGGTAAGGCCCGAGGCCAGCCAAAATGTACGATCCTCCCCTCCTCGCCACCGCGAGATAAGAGTGCAATTGGGAGCGTTGCTCCCCTTCTCTAAGTTGGGCAAAGTATGCATAGGAGATTAGAACGGGTGCCGTCGCGCCATGTAGTGACGCACGCTCATTGCGCCATTTTGCTGGTAATGCTGAAAACGCGATTCCCCCCCCGAGATGTTCGTGAGCAGCGGTAAGTGGTAGATATAAATAGCTTGCCGTTTGAACAGTGAAGGACGTGCTTCATAGTAGTGCAGTGGTTAATGCCTCGCTTTCACAACGCAGAGGTTCCACGTTCGATTCCATGTGCTGGAGTGTTTTTCGGGCTTTTTTTTTCTTGCATATATATATATAGATAGGAATACATATAAGGTGAGTGACGGCGATGCCGACGCCAGCGGCAAAATCCAGCCAACAGTGTCCATATAATTGCTATTGCAACAATATTAGGAAGCAAATTATGTTTTTGCAGACAATATATGCTGCGAGTGTTTGTAAGACAGCTTTATAGTGGTTTCTTACGCTAACATATTGAGTAAATAGCACTTAAAGAAGCACTTTACTTTTGTCATTTAGTATTAGCAGCACTCATAATGCAGATGCATATTGCAACAGATGCAATAATGCATACGGTAGTTGTTTTTTTTTTTCACACTCTGAGTGAGAGAATTGAGAGTTTTATTGAATGTTGAAAAAGTTTTTTTTTTTATTCTTGATATTGGAGGTCGTGTAATTGAAGAGGACTGTTGAGTAAGTTGGCATGAAATGACCCCCTTTTGTTTTAACAGCAATGTAAAGACCAATGAAAGTGTTTTTCGGACATGATTGCACAAGTGACAGTATGCAACAGCTGCGTAATGAGGCAACTACTATCGTTGCATCAATGGTTGGAAAAAGTTATAGTTGTATGGATTGATATGTGGGGTTTAACATCCCAAAACCACTTCATGATTATGAGAGACGCATAGTTGTATGGATAAGTAAAGGAAAGACAGCGCTACTGATTAGACAATAGCAGCTGATACTCCGGTGAAGAATGAAACAACTTTAGTAAAAGAACATGAATAAGTGTCAGACAAAGGGTCATATTTAATGTCAAGTTATATATTTACAGCCATATTTACACACTATGCAACACAAACACAACAGTTACAAGACAGGCTAACATGTGTGCCATTTTCACAGGGTCAGTTATTGAGTACAAGTGAATCGAAGCAGTTAACAGTACTCATGCTGAGTAAGTGCCAGCACTGGAAATGATCACCCAGGTATGCTCAAGTAGCAGTTGTACCCATTGGCGCATCGAGCGCAAGGATTTGAAAATATGAATTTTCCAATTTTGTTTTGTACGAGTGCTGTTCTAGGATTTTCTGTGGAGGAGTCCTGGCAGTCAAAAAGATCAAGTTACATTAAAAGTAGGCTTGTGGGAATATTCGAACGAATAGTACAGTATTCGAACTCACTTCGATTCAAACCTAAATTGTTGAAAATTTAGAGGTATTTGAAATGAGCAAATAAGTGTATATATTAGTCCGCATGTAACCTCCTGTGAAGATGGTTTCACTGCAGTGAAGCAGTGCTAAGCCGTGAAAACACATACTTAAGGGGAACTCGCATTGCAGCTGACGTCAAAAGTACTCATGTCAAGAGTTTTGCATCCACGAGTAATTAACAACCTCCTAGTAGCGAGTCACGACCCAAATTGCAACCGAGGAACGAATAGCCATCTATTTTATTGTTTTATATCACCAGTATCTAGCAGATTCAAAACTGGCGGAAAGCCTGCCATTTTTGCGCTGGCAGCGCTTCCTTGCGGTCACCTCCAGATCACTCCCAAGCTGACCACTTCTTTCACAAAAAAGAGTGACATGAGGCTCAGCTGCTCTGCTAACATTTCGTCTGCTAGGCGTACACATTCATTCATGCCTTGTCACCAGCGTTGCAATCGTCACTGTCAAAAGTGTCAGCTAGAGTTCAATACGATTGTCTAGAGCTTGGAATCGCTGCGATTCACGATGCCGCGAATCATTTTTGCTTCGATCATTTCTTTGCAGAACAGCGATTACAAAATGTACGCTGATCCAAGTAGCAATGAGGATGTGCCTGGGGCCACATGCTTCAGTCATGCTCGCTCGTGTGTCACAATTATTGCTATGTTGGGGAGTTTTGGTGTGTATAGCATTCCAGTATATGCAAAGGGGTCTATAGAATACCGCTCTAGAGAACGCACGCCAGCAACGCAATAGAATGGGTTAGGTTTCTAAAATAACAATTCTGTGTTTTCCAGGCTCTTCTCTGCGACTCCAGATGGCCCCACCTATCCGGCCTCTCACGGTTACAGCGGCAGTAACCCAATATTACGTGAGCACAAAATTGTCTACAGATGAATTGGAGTTCACTATTAATGATACCCGCGTGTTTCTTGTTAGCAATGACATTTATCTATACGCTACTTCACTTTGATAGCATGTGATCCCGCACCACATGTGTAACGAAACAACCCACTCATAGTGCTTTTTTCGTGCATCCAACCAGACGACTGCAGCTCCCAACGGTTCCCCTTCATACTGACTGTAGCACGCATGTCGAATCATGCTATTTTCTTTTCTTTTATTGGTCGTTTAAAATTTGTAGTTGTAAAATTATTCAAAGCAGTGCGACAAAAATCAAACATGAAGAGTGAGAGTGTTTCTAGGTGTCGGCACTATGATAAGAACACATAGATTGAAGCATCATCGTTACTAGCGCATTGTTACCCAGGATGATATGTGTCGAATGTATTACACCGAACATGTAGCACTAATGTCGAAGTTTCAGGGCACTAAATTTCCTGTTGAGCTTTCACACGCTGTTTGCCATCGAAATAAAGTAACTTACACCCAATGGATGCCATTTAAATTTGGCCAAGAAGACCTATGCATACTGAGAAATCACATGAAGGACACATCTTGATTTTGAAATTTAATATCAGTACCCTTGTAAATGAACATATTACCTTAACAACGAGAATAAGGTTTTCCCAAACACGAAACCGACCCTCACATCAACTCATCATGCCCATTGCATCAGTTTAAAAGCTTGTTATACCGACTTATATGCTCTGAGTATAGTAAATTTTTAAAATTAACACGCCTTTTCGGCTATCCCTTGCGTTCTACTGAAGGTAAAATACTGCTGCTATTCAAAATTGTTTCTGCTTTTCTTGATGCAAAAGAAAAAAAAGCATTTGCACAGGCCTTGTTTCAATTAAAAAAATAATAATGTGGATGTTAGTTGGGTATTGACAAATATGCCCATTTTTATTTATAATATGCGATATATACTATTTGAATTCGATTCGAACTTATTCGAACGAGATCACTATTCGCTTCAAATTCGCTTTGAAACATAAATTCACTTTTCGAATAAGTCTAATTAAAATAAAGCACATAAACCTGTGGTGAAAAAGAAAACAGTTTCTCCAGGAAATACAATAGACAAGGTTTGTCCAAAACAGCTATGCAACACATTCCAGCGAGCACATAACCGAAGTACCCTTCTTCGTCAAACCTGAAAAGCATGACACACGGTAATTCGCATCATATTTACACAAAGGCACACATAGTCTGTGCTTTCAGTACATCACCCGAATGCAAGTGGCACAGCATAACTGGTCAAGAAGCCACAGCTGTTCTTTGCAAGCAGTGGCAAAGTTTCTTGACGAGTGGCATATGTTTTAGTTGCGTCTGCGGCGCACACGGGATATTCTCCATGCGTTAGGCTCCTCGTACTTGTTGTAGAGTGGCTCGAGGCGCAGCTGCTTTTTGTGCTTGCTTAGCTTGGTTGGGTCGGCGAACTTGAAGAAGGAAGATGCAAACTCTACCAGCCACTTGGGGTCAATGGTTGTCACCTCTCGCATGTATTCCTTCGTTGTCAGCACCAGCTCGTAGTATACAACCCTGTTTGGAGATAACGAGCACTAGAGTTAGCTTTTTAAGGGAAAGAATAGTACTATCTCACTGTGAAAGAATACAAAAAGTGACGTAAAAATCCCAATCTCATTTAAATCTTTCAAACTTCATACATCTACATCAATGTTACAGAACACAATTGTGACTCTAATAAGCTAGACTTTATAGAATTACAAAAAAACTCAAGAAGAAATTAAAAACCACACTGTATATGATGAAACTAAAAATGATAGGAGTAACACTAAAAGACACGAAGACAGCTGAGTGGATCAGGGAACAAACAGGCAGCCGATATCCTCCCCCGAAAGCCCAAGAATTTGTCTTGGAAGAGGGGACTATTGAGCAGACTCTGGAAATGCGCACCCAACAGTACCATTGCCGATCCATCCAAGAAAGCCCAGCGGTTCATGCCCTTAGCACAAATGACTAGCACAATACCATCCAAGCAGGCTTGTGCGAATATTCGAATGCTTTAAATATTTGAAAGAATATCAGAGTATTCAAACTTGCTTTGATCCAAATTTAAATTATTAAGAATTTCAAAGTATTCAAAATGAACGACTTTCGAATACTTTGAAATTCATTCACGTGAAACCCCCGTAGAGGTGGTTTCACTGCAGTAGAGGTGCTAAGCCAAGAAAACACATATTTATTGGAAATTTGCAGAGCCGCCAAGCCCCACTTCAAGGTTAAATGCACACATCACCCTCACATGAATTCATAATCTTTACATTCAAAAGCTTGTTATACCATTTCGAAAAGTTAATTCGAGTGCGAAAACTTGACACGATCACTCACACACGCACACAGCCATGCATCAAACACACAAAGCGCCCACTTCCAACTGATTTATTCATAGCTTGAAGGCTTGAATTTATACAGGACACATTGTGCGCACACACACCATAGAAGGCCAATAGCATACCAGCTTATATGCTCTAGGTATAGTAAATATCAAAACCAAATATATTTTTTTACAGGTCATGATTCGCATTCTACCTAAAGTCAAATCCTGCTACTATTCAAAGTTCCTTCCTTTGAAGCCCCCCAAAAAAAAGAAACATTTGCACCGGCCTTGTTCAGGTATTAAAATATATAAGGTGCCCCAAATATATTTAGCCAGAGTTTAAAAATATGCCGACACACGCAATTAGGATGAGACCAAATGCATGTTGCTGACGCTTGCCTAGAAAAAGACTATTTTTGTGTTTTAAATATTGTTTAATTAGATCAGTTTAATTAACTAACTTTTGAGGGAACGAAGATGGATGCAAAATTTCAATGAGAAAGTTGTAGATCGGTTTGCAAAAGGTCTGATTAGACAGTTTCGAACCTTATATCTATTAATTAGTGTTTTTCTCCTAACTACAAATGCCCGCGAAATACAAAAAAATACCAAGTGACAAACCCGCTTGCGCACCAGTGCACACATTGATTCTAGAGCTCCCTAAAATTCTGTGTATGAAATGACCATAGCATTTGCTCGATTGTGCTCTCAACCAGGTCGCAACGATGGTAGTGGCTTTGTGACGAATACTCTTGCTATCGGCCACAAAAGCGATATCCGCTTTGACAGCTTATTGCTGCTATAAACTGGGGTGAGGGAAGCGTATCGTTTGTACGCAGAACGTTAGAAAGCACCAGAATTACGGCGCATGTAGGCACGCCACTGGGTTTGTCTTGTGTTATTTTTTTGTATTTTGCCGGCATTTATAGTTAACAGAAAAACACTAATAATTAACAGATATAATGTTCAAAACTATCTAATCAGATGTTTTGCAAAGCGATCTACAACTTTCGCATTGAAACTTTTTACCAATCTTCGTTTCTTCAGAAGTTAGTTAATTAAACAAATCTAACTAAACAATATCTTAAAACACAATAAATAGTCTGACTAACTCTATCAACGGTCAGCAATAGGCATTTAGTTGTGTCGTAATTGCGTGTGTCAGCATATTTTTAAACTCTGACTAAAGATATCTGGGGCACCCTGTATATAAGTGCAGCTTAGTTATGTCATGAAAAATATGCCCATTTTCCATCATAAAATGTGATCTATGCTACTCAAATTCAATTTGTAAATATTTGACAACAATCACTATTTGCTTTAAATTTAATTTGAACTGAAATTCACTATTCGCACAAGCCTACATCAGAGCCATCGTGCTAGAGGAGCTCCGGAAGCTATTTTCCATGGCCAGAGGTGACATCGAGTGCTTGAGTAGTAGTGCGTCAGAAAATCCAGCAGTCACGTGGTGTTCCTCAGCCAGCAGAGCCGCAGCTGCAAGCTATCAACTGTGCTGCTGCGGTCCCACGTGATTTTCCCTCTCCACACCCTCATCACGACACCGCATCGCTGCATTTCTGTCACGAGACACCGCCGTTACCACCCTGCTCACCTGTCGACCGTTGCTGCGCACCGAGATAAACTGACGTTTGTCATATCCCCGACTGCCGCCTCGCCCTCTGCTACTACTTGGTGAAGCCAGACACACATAGCGCCACTGCCAGAACCGTGGGACGGAATTGCATGGTTTTGGGGTGAACGTGCCACGTCAGCAGTGAGGTGAGTGACCTTGCAACATCACCGACCATCTCGCAGCAGTGCAATGGACCACCAGATGACCTACCCAACCACCGTAGCCAGGCCTTTACGTCTCACCACAATGCCGACCACACACGAGCCCAACCTGAGGCCAGTCGCCTGGCCCATATCCCGAAAACTAAAGGCAGCAACTGATGGAAGTGCGGTGGCTCTTCGTCGCAACAACGAAGATCCGAAGATCCTCAACAACTGTCACCTGGCTGCTTGCCATTGCATTTAACATGAGGAGTTCACTGAAGCCACATTCTCAAAATAACAATAATTGCCGAGCTTGCATAATAGAAGAAATCATTTTAAAAACATATCTTTGCTCACAGATGAGCTTTGTTTTGACTTATACCTTTACTTTAAAATTGTTTTCCTCAAGATCCATTTTTGGGCAACTTCTTGAGATTAGACATCATGTTTTTGGTACTTCTCATAGTCTCAGGATGAAATTTCACCCAGGTATTCCTAACTTGTGAAGGATGCAAGTATCTCCTTTAAAACTTGATATTGCTTGCATAATTACTATGAAGCTAAAGCAAGCAATTAGTGTGGGCTTAGCATTCTAAGAATTCTCACATTAGAGTTTTTTTGTTTATTAAAATGTCTTATATGTACTTAGTTGATAGTTATTTGAATTCTACAGTTGATGAGGAGCGATACGAGAATATGGCTTATTGCCATTAAAACATAGAGGGTTAATGGCAATAAAAAGTTTTTAAAACTAACTTTATTTTACCCATTGTCATGACACAAAACGAAAGCTGTGCAACTTGCAAAAAAATAATTACATACTTGAAATCAGCATAAAAGCCTATAATACAGCAAAAGATTTCATTGCTCTAGCCTACAGATTCACGAAACTTTTTTTTTTTTTTTTTCGAATTGCATCTCCCGTTAAGAACGAAAATAAGTAGCACAGACTTTAGAGATTCGCAGGAATTCCACTGGCTGAGAGCTTATTTACCACAACAGCAGCAAGCTCAGAGCAAGAGCTATTTTGGCAAGAACAGCTTCTTTGTGATGCGCATATTATCTTTGCCCATGGATGTCTTGATACACATCCTCAAAAGTACAAAACTGTAGTCTTCACATCTAGTATATGCAAAACGCAGAAGTGCCACAAGAAGTCAAATGCTACAGGCCTTCTCACGCAATAAAAACGACAAATTAATTAATGTAAAAAGCAAATACTAAAACATACAAAGAAAGAAGTGTGTGAACCAGCTCTATTTTGATTGAAAATGCAGACAAAAAGTCATGCAACCCACCATTCCGGCTGGCGGTTGAAGAGAGCGCTGGACGGATGGATGTAGACAACTTGGCCGTCCACAAGTGTCCGGTATCCCTCCTGAGGGTCTTTTTGGCAGCATTCCGAAAGAAGCCACTGCAAACTGCCTTTTGCACACGTGCTGTGTTCTTGCCACAGGACACTACATCTAGCTTGTGCCTGTGAACAGGACAGTACAAAAAAAAAGATAGTGATGTGAATAAGTAGTTTGAACCCACTTACTGGTTAAAGCAGCAGCTGCAATAGTATACAAGCTAAATATTACTGCACTGATGCCAAGGTTTGATGTTACATTGCACACAGTAAAGCACATCGACAGAAGCGAAGACAACTGACAGCTGCTACTCCATAAGGTGTCAGTGCAGAAAGCAGCAAACAGTGATTATAGTAAGGAATAGCATGAACAAATGGGGCAAACCAAAGTGCAAACCCTCTTAATATTATATGACAATTGGATAATAAAACCCAAATACCATACGGAATTTAGAACCACCAGAAGATGTGTATTCACTCCACGACACCTTCCAGTTGTTTCAAAAGTGCTGACAACTCAACCTTCTAATTAAACATTAAAACAAAAGAACACAACCCCAGCAATGAGCTGAAGTTAAAAGCAAGAGTCAAACAAACAAACAAACAGGTGTGCAGAGGGGCACTACACACCTGTCCATGATTCCAAGTAGTTGCTTGCGCACGTCCTGCGCCCTCTTGAGGGTCCGAATTTGGACAAAGTTTTCGTAGCACCACGCATTGGAGAACTTGTTGTTTTTCCAGGAGTTGTAGACGGCCAGCAGAGTCAGGTGGTCGCCCTCCGCCTGGTTGAACTTGGCCTTCTTCTGGTCAGCCAGTGCTTGTTTGTCCTATGGCGGCAAACGGTCTTAGAGCGTCATACCTTTGTCAATCATCGAATAAGTTATCCTATGATGTCACTGAAAGCTGCACTTGGCTACTAAATAAAAAGTACAGCGAAACCTTTGCTGAACATGAAGATAAAAATCCTGGCAACCGTGTAAATTTTTAGCTGAAGTAAGACATCAGAAATTGATGAGCAATATAGGGAACAAAGGAAGAGAAATGAGAAGATGCAGGAAAGCTCGAACTATACAGCAAATTTTATAAAACCCATAGTTAAAAATATTTAGGGGAAATTTTCAAACTTAATCTGTGATATTTGGAGACATAATAGATAATGTTAAATAAGAGATGCATCAGCTTCTGTAAACTATTTTGAAGGTTGCTTTAGAAGCTCAAGCACTGGCTTGATACCCTTGTGCAGGATTTAAAATCAAAGTGCATAAGCTTTCAAAAATGTTTCAGCATGCTACTACTGCAGTTATACAGCCGAACCCTTTTATAAGAGACACTGATTAGGAGAAAACTGGGCATAAGTGACACCAGTCTGCCTATAATGAAATAGGTGGTTCATAAGAAAATGCATACGTGGTACCCAACTTATAAGAGCCACCTCATAAAGACAAGAATTGCTGCCTGGAGCAGATCTGTTTTAAAACTCTACTAGGTTCAGGGAGCAGCACCACGCACATCATGGTCAACTCTCTCACAATAAACCTTTGTTCTTTTGCAACTATGCAAACAAGGCATAAGAAACTAATACTTTGTTATTTTCACAGCAATTTACAGTAGCTGTGATACCACAACAATAAATTTTAAAACGGATTGTGTGGACCCACTAAAGCTAGCTACTATATCCATTACCAAATCTTCCAGTAGCAGTTTGCTCCTGAACAATGGGTGTCACATATGCTATTTGAACTTCAAAAAACAAGTCCTTTCACTGGCAAGTATGCACACCATTTCGGAAAGGCTGGGCTTTTCTCTAAGAACACTTTACTTGAACATGAATGTAATTTTGCAAGAAACAAATTATTTTAATCAGAAATTAGCATGCTATTCAAGTATTTTTTTAAATGAAGTTCCTACCAACCGCTATGCTCCACAGAGTTGCTTTTTGGCATGGCACTCAGTAATGTCAATTCATAACAATTTTCCCAACTTACATACGTCTGCATTACAACCACTCATCACTGAATCCCCAAAGGCAACACTGCTGTCACTGAAGCCTATAAAGTCTGGCAAATTAAGTTTCTTCCATGAATACAAAAATAGACAATAAAAGGTCCTTAAGATCTGCATCCATAACATTTTTGTACAGGCAATGCTTCTGCTTGCTACATAGCGACACAAACGACTAGAATAGACTTTCAAGCTTGCGATTTTCGAACTGGAGGCTTTCAAACTTCATTTCAGCACTTGACTATTCTTTATATGACAAGCACCATCACCTAAATGTCGTGCAGAACTCATGTATCATAAAATTTCATGAGGTTGGTGTAGACTGCACAGTGCTACCACTGAATGAAGGATGACAGTGCAAAACACTCAAGAAACATGACAACAGTTCATTTTGCCGCATACCTTAGGCCTGTAGAACACATTCTGCACTGAAAGCATGGACACCACGGTGAGGATCTCCTCGCTGCAACCCAGGTGAACGGACATAATCAACATCTTGGCCAAGTTGGGGCTCAAAGGAAATTCCGCCATCTAGGAGGTAAGTGAAAGATACACAGGGAAATTAGAGGCAAGACCACCACATTGTAGCGTGCTAAAAGACACAGCATCTCGAGCCTTGCATACCCTTCGCCCCAAGCGGGTGAGCAGTCCCTCGTTGTCCAATGCACTGAGGGAATGCAGCTGCTCCAAAGCCATGATGAGAGTCTGGAAAAAGTGGACAAAGCAGAAAGATTGCATTGATTACGACGGTGCATAGACAGTTTTTGTTTTAAGAGCACATATCGTATTGACTCGCATAATCCTCGCACTTTTTTTGGCGGAAAAGCGATTTAAGGTTGGGGGGTGCAAGAATTACGCGGTGAAAACTTTCTACAAAAACGTACAGAGCGAAAAAGAAAACGAAGTGGCCACAAATCGCGATTCTCACACCAGGAACTAACAGCAAGCTTAGAGAAGTACTAATTGAAACTTAGCTCAACAATAAAAGCACAGGTTCAAGTCAAGGCAAGATTTATTTGAGACACAAAATAGTTGGGAATTAGAATACCATACGCAAAGCTTGTGGGCGTTGAGGGCGTAGTGGTAGCGTTTCTCGCTCAACGGAAGCACTCAAAAGGTAAGCGTAGGACATCAGTATTGGGCTGATGGCTATTTAACAGAATCGTCTGCAGCTTTCCTTCTGAAGAAATAAAGTTTACCATCAATCCCAGTTTTATACGCACACGGCAAACCCAACTCGTCTTGGTGGCTTTCAGCTGCCGTTACCAGTAGCGAACACGAAACTCGTAGACTCCGAAGGGCCTTCCGGCCGCTCTGTTGCCGTTGTTTAGTGCATGGTCTATCACTTTCAACTTATAAGCAGCCGTGTAGCTTCAGTATCGTCCCATAACGTGACAAGATTACCGACACAACGTATAAAACACGCCGCGACGCGCACTTGCCACTTTGGCTTGGCTTGAATTGGATTGAATCTCCGTGCAATAATACCGTAATTACTCAAATCTAACACGCACCTTTTTTCCGGTTAAGCGAGTTCATAAATCGCATGCGCGTTAGAATCGAGTACGAACAAAAAAATTACGGTCGATCGATTGCCATTGGCAAATCCAAAATGGCCGCCCCCTACGTGCGTCGGCATGGCGCGTCGGCCATTTCCTATGTGTTTTCCATGTGCGGCACTTCGTACGTGTGCTGAGGAGTTCGTCATCTAGTAGTGCATTAGCATCGATGGCGTGGAAGGGCCGACTCCAAAAACTCGAGTGCACCACGATGCCGCTTTTAAAAGAAAAGTCATCGCGTGTGCAGAAACGGACGGAAATCGGGCCGCATCGCGGTCGTTCGGAGTTCCCGAAACGTGCGTGCGGGACCGGCGGAAACAAAATCAGAAGATTGTCGACAGCAAAGCTTCACGCAAAGGCTTCAGTGGACCACAGCAGGGTCGGTTTCCGCAAATTAAAGAGCTGCTCAACGAGTATGTGCTTGAGCAGCGAGCGGCACAGCGGCCCGTGACGACAGAACTACTCCAAGTGCGGGCTATGCAATTAGTCTTAGAAAAAGGTCTAATGCGGAGCCAATTTATAGCGAGCAGGTGCTGGCTAACTAATTTTATGAAGAGGAAAGGCTTTTCCCTCCGAAGGGGAACATGCATATGCGAAACGTTTTGCGGAGGAGTACGATGTAAAGCTTCACAGTTTTCAGAGGTTCGTCCTAAACTTGCGGCGCAACAACGGCTACCTGCTTGGGCAAATCGGGAATGCCGATCAGACGCCTCTTTACTTCGACATGCCTGGCACCACAACCGTCGAGAAGAAGGGGGCGAAGCAAGTTCGCGTGCTGACATCGGTCCACGGTAAAACTACAGTGACGGCAATGCTCTGTGACATGTCAGATGGGCACGAGCTTCGCCCGTACCTCATATTTAAATGGAAGACACTCCCAAAAGGAGTCATTTTTTCGAGTGGTGTGATCGTGTGGGCCAGAGAGAAAAATGGGTGCGCGTTGCAATCGATGTCTTACGTTTTTTTTTTTTTTTCGCGGTGGAAATCGGGTGCGCGTTACAATCGAGGGCGCGGTAGAATCGAGTAAACACAATAGTATGCTTGATGCTTAAGAGATGGCGCCAGACAGCGCACTATCATTATCATAAGTGGCTGTAACGAGCAGACAACATTATTGCGACAGTTTTCGGGGGTGCGATAATTACTCAAGGAAAAAAAGAAATCGTATTTTTGTTGGGCGATGTGGGGGGTGCGAGAATTACGCGAGTGCGAGGATTACGCGAGTAAATATGGTAAACGCAGCCAAACTAAGCCTTTTGCTCAGTAAGCCAGGGGCTGTCCAGTAAAAAAATGTGTGGCTTTACCTCAGTGGGGGGAGCATCCATGAAATCGAAGGAGAGCAGGTCGTTGATGCCCATAGCCTTCAGCTGGAGCACGGTGGAGGCCAGGTTCGTTCGCTGGATCTCTGGCACGGGTGTTGTAAGCATCTCGTCTCGGTAGGCTCGCTCCGTGTACAGGCGGTACGTCTTGCCAGGCCCTGTGCGGCCTGCCCGACCAGCCCGCTGCTTGGCCTGGGCCTAGAGAACATTGAGAGAAAATGATTTAAAACAAGGCCTTCAGCCACAGGAAAACACGCAGTTGGCTGAGAACACTTAAGCACATATCCAGCCTTTGTATACTATAATGAAAAAAGAATGGATGCTGCTGTAAACTTGTGCTGTTTAAAAGAGATCATTCATTTATTAGGCCGTAAAACAAAGGAATGGAAAAAGTTGAATCTTTGCCTTGATTGTGGTTGTAATTAAATGCGGAGGCATTAGCAGGCTTTACACAGTCACAGCAGCAGCAACACACGTAGATCTCTTTAACAATAATAACAGCTGGCACTTTACACTCCAAAACCATAGCTTTATATAAAGAGATGCCGCAGTGGAGGGCTGAAGAAATTTCGACCATCTGGTGTTCTTTTAACATTCGCTGACAACACATTGTATACAGGCCTCTGGCAGTTCACCACTATCACAGTACAACCACCGTGGCTGGAAATGGACCCGTGACCTGCGGGTAAGCTGTCGAGCACGACAGCCAATGCTCTACAGTGACGGACTCGTAGAACCACCTTAAACCGTCACACATAAGCAAGCACACAATATAAATTCTAGTTGAATAACTAATATCACTGCAACGTTAACTACAATCCTTACGTTACTTGCACTTCACTGCAGTGTATAAGCCTCATCACGCACTTCATACCTGCGAGATAGGTGTGACCACAAGGGAATCCATGCCAGTTTTTGGGTTGTAGACATTTTGCTTGACAAAGCCTGGGTCCACGACGTAGTAGATTCCATCAATCGTCAGCGACGTTTCAGCAATGTTAGTAGCAATCACGACCTGCAAGTATATACAAATAGCTTGACACCTAGATACTCGCGATTCAGCCCAACTTCAGTGCTAGTTATAAAACCAGAGGGAAATATTATTGTGCAGCAAGACTAGCAGTACAGTAGACTGACAGTAAACAAAAATCTCTTGAATGAATAAACGAAACTGCTGCTTAAATGCAACAAGTGCTTCTCAGAATACTGGTTTCGTACTTGTATTCTGTATCCTTGTTCATTTCTCAGTAAATCGAAACATTTTCCTTGTCCCTTCAGGTTCCCTTTAATGAGTCTACTGTATTTTGTACAGCATTCACTCCACAATACATTCAAAGCCCTGAATGAAAGATTCACACACATTTGTCTGCACATTACCAAGAACTGCATCCTTGTAAGGAAATTCCCGACCACAACTTTACATCTGGTGTCCCTCTAACAAGTGATAACCAAGCAAACCTTGTCTAATGTGACTTGATCTTGGAACGATCCATAAAAAGCCCCAGAGCTCGGCCATAGTAACAAAAAAGAGTTGCTACAAGTGCCTACCATATTCACAAGAATATAGAATAACTCCATCCTTCACACAATGCACGACATCGAGAAGGTAAGCCTCTGAGGTTAAAGCCATTGTTCTGCTCACCATTTCACCCTGCATAATCAATTAAAGTGCAGCTTTATGGCTCAGCACTACTGCAAAATACAGAACTTGAGACAAAGTTAGCTGTGGTTTTTAGTGGTGCATTCGATATCTCTTGTATGGCTTAATTAATACAGAAAAAAATACTTCATTACATACTGCCATGATTCACCAATTGGGAGAAGATCTCATTCACATTACTACGCAAGTTGACACAATCAGATAACTAAATCATCAGCGATTTTCAATGTGCATGTGCAGAATACTATACTGTACAAAATCTTTACGGTGTTACGTACAGTAAAGGCTTTTTGGAAGGTGCCAGTTCAATTAGTATTCAAACAAACAAAAAAAAAAGATTTGTGGTAAGTAGAATCTCGATGATACAAATTCTTAGGGAGCAAACCAAATATTCGTATGATTCTAAATTTGTATGAACCCCAACAAGTTAATGCTGACCATGAAGATAAACATGAACTATATTGGGGTCAACTACTTCTTGCTGTAAAAAGTCCATGATGTCTTTTTAAAACTTTTTTGTCTTCGTTGTCTCTCGAAAAACCCGCATGAACGAAATAAAACTGTGCTCTCATTTACACACTGATGCGGCGGGTGCTCAAGGCGTGTTCCCACTTAGCCTCAAAGGGAGCAAAAGTGGCAAAACTCACTCAAAATTCACTCACTTCGCCGTCTAAGCAGCCGGAAAATCATGCCACGTAGTCAACACGAAAAAATCGATCCTGGAGCATTCACACTAAAAAAGTAAAGCGAAACAAAAACGAAACCACATCCGCGCATGTCGATAACATTCATATTCGTTCTGCCCCTTGTAAATGCCACCGCCCTCGCCACTTTGAGAACTCATTTCATTATGCCAGTTTCCTGAGCATTAAAATTCGTGCCGAGTTCGAGTGATGCATGCAAAGCCCTGAAAAGAAACAGTTTGCACCTTTTCAAACACTGTTTCGAAAGATACATTAGCAGAAACGACATGAACGAATACACCAGCGGCAGCAAATTCAGCTGCCTATGCAAGAACGAGACACGTTGGGGTATGCCGACTAGCTGCTGCTGCATCTTCTTCAACGTCCAGTAGTATTCTAGGTGATCGTAATCAAAGCCAGGCTCTCGATGAACATGTCCTTGTCGAGGCTGTGAGCTTTGTCATGCGGCATGGGTAGTTAGCAACAACGGTGATGTGAGGCACCATCCATGCCTTTGCCCCTATGTTGAATTTGTGAACGTGGTTTGAGCAAGTGCAGCCAAAGCCATGAAATGAAAAGGTGGTCAGCTGTCGCATGGGGCAAAATTGGTCTCAGACCAACTCTTGTGCATCAGCTTCGTGGCATGGTTTTCCGGCCACTTAGGCGGCAAAGCGAAGAAAATCTCGGTGAGATTTGCCGCATTCGCTTCATTTGAGGCCAAGTGTGAACGAGTTTTCCTGCCACAGACAATCTGCACTGCGCCCCTCACTTGCAGTGGTCAATCACACGTTCATATAATCTACGGTAGCTAGAGAAACCCTTTGTATAACACAGAACCAAAGCGCATTATATATAACGTCTGTCCAAAACAACCTTAAAATTCATATCATCGTGAAATTCGGATCAACCACAATCGCATCACTAAGATTCTACTGTACAAAGGTTCAACAGCGCCACACAAAACTTGCAAAGGCAAAGCGAATAACCTTTCTGGAGCCTGGAGTTGCAGGCTCAAATATCCTGGTTTGCATTTCACTGGGCAGTGCAGAGTACACAGGCAGAATAATAAGTTCGGGAACGTCGGGTCCAAGGGACTTCATTCGCTCGTACAAGATCTCGCAGGCAGTGTCGATTTCTTCTTGACCAGTCAGAAAGAGCAATATGTCACCTGACACAAACAAGAAAATGAGAAATCAGGGAGTGAAATGCTGAGCAAAAAGACATTTACATATGAAGCTATCGTTTCATTTCTTTTACAGTTTTTTCTTCATGGCAGGTATATATGAACAAATATACATTAAGCCAATGTACTGCCATAGGTTCATTAAAGCACAAAGTAAATCAACTTCGGTATCACTTTTAAATTATGTTAAAGAAGAAACAAAAAGTGGTTCAGTAAAACTTGCAGCTGGTTGAGCTGGTTCATATTTCAAGGTAAACTTTCAAGGTTTATCAGAAACAAAAATTTTAACGCATACCTAAATAAATACTAATAGCACAGTACTCACGCCCACTGCTAACCCTGCACACTTACTTTTATTCTGTGCAAGGCAGTCTAGCAATTGATTTAGTATACAAATACTGAGGTAAACTAATTATCATGCTAATTACTAATGACATGACTACATCAGATGTGCATTTCATTGATTTTGAATTTTAAATTTCAACTCCATTAGTACACTCCAATAGAATGATTTACACATCCCTATATTTACAACATAATTACCATGATGGCCAAAAGCAACTACACTGAACTGGGAAGAAGCTTTTACTTTTGCTAGCTGCAGGCATATACTGAAAGATGCAGGTAAACTTAACAATAGGTTTAAGCTACAATTGACAAATAGCTATGAGAGACAAGTTTTAAAAATATACCGGGAGGTTCTGTCAGATGAATCTGCATGACTGTGATAAGCGAGGCATCCAAGTAGTCCGTCTCTGGCTCCTTTGTGTAGAGGATCTCAACAGGAAACGTCCTTCCCGGAATGGTGAATATAGGCTGTTCAGAAAGAAGGTGGACAGATATATAAAGAACTGGCAGAACCCTTCTGTCATATGGGCCAAATCAATTAACTGCTGGGCAAAAGGCAAAAAGCTAGCTGAAGACCATCCGTCAAGAGTTAAAAATATATACAAAGAGAAAGATGATCGCACCAAGTATTGCCTCCATATGCCCCGTATCGTGCGAGTTCAGGCCTTCCATAGAATCAAGAAAGTGTCACTGTTATCTTCGAGCATTCCTCCTTCCCCCCGTTTTTTTCTCACAAGGCTGCTTTCATTGGATGAACTAATGACAACAAAAACGTACTACAAAATTATACAAAGTGAGAATAATACATATAGGACAAAATACAATACAAAGGTGAACAATTAAACTAGTTTTTCTTCTGACCCAACTGCATCATCCTTATCAGTGAGTCTTATGTCCACTGAATGACAAAGGCCTTTCTAAATGAACCTTGCCTGTCCTGCGAGAACTACCGTAATTACTCAAATCTAATGCGCACCTTTTTTCCGGTTAAGCGAGTTCATAAATCGCATGCGCGTTAGAATCGAGTACGAACGAAAAAATTACGGTCAATCTATTGCCATCGGCAAATCCAAAATGGCCGCCCCCGTACGTGCGTCGGCATGGCGCGTCGGCCATTTCTGCATATGTGTTTCCCATGTGCGGCACTTCGTACGTGTGCTGAGGAGTTCGTCATCTAGTAGTGCATTAGCATCGACGGCGTGGAAGGGCCGACTCCAAAAACTCGAGTGCACCACGATGCCGCTTTTAAAAGAAAAGTCATCGCGTGTGCAGGACCGGACGGAAATCGGGCCGTATCGCGGTCGTTCGGAGTTCCCGAAACGTGCGTGCGGGACCGGCGGAAACAAAAGCAGAAGATTGTCGACAGCAAAGCTTCACGCAAAGGCTTCAGTGGACCACAGCAAGGTCGGTTTCCGCAAATAAAGAGCTGCTCGGCGAGTATGTGCTTGAGCAGTGAGCGGCACAGCGGCCCGTGCCGACAGAACTGCTCCAAGTGCGGGCTATGCAATTAGTCTTAGAAAACAGTCTAATGCGGAGCCAGTTTAAAGCGAGCAGATGCTGGCTAACTAACTTTATGAAGAGGAAAGGCTTTTTTCTACGAAGGGGAACATGCATATGCGAAAAGTTTTGCGGAGGAGTACGATGAAAAGCTTCACAGTTTTCAGAGGTTCGTCCTAAACTTGCGGCGCAACTACGGCTACCTGCTTGGGCAAATCGGCAATGCCTATCAGACGCCTCTTTACTTCGACATGCCTGGCACCACAACCGTCGAGAAGAAGGGGGCGAAGCAAGTTCGCGTGCTGACATCGGTCCACGGTAAAAGTACAGTGACGGCAATGCTCTGTTACACGTCGGACGGGCACAAGCTTCGCCCGTACCTCATATTTAATTGGAAGACGCTCCCGAAAGGAGTCGTTTTTTTCGAGTGGTGTGATCGTGCAGGCCAGCGAGAAAAATGGGTGCGCAGTGCAATCGATGTCTTACTTTTTTTTTTTTTTTCGCGGTGGAAATCGGGTGCGCGTTACAATCGAGGGCGCGGTAGAATCGAGTAAATACGGTAGTTCTATTTCATGTCGTTTATTTCATTGCTCCACCTAGCCCTTTGCCGTCCTCGGCCAAACTTCCCATTTCTTGGCATCCATTCTAACGTTCTAAACGATTATCTGTTTTCTGTCCTTTTCATGACATGACCTGCCTAGGCATATTTTTTCCCCTTGCCGTAAAATCACGAGAAACCGCCTTCTCCAGGGTGAAAGATAATCTGACAAGATTTGTAGGGAGGGGGGGGGGGGGCTTGCTTAGTCATGGAGCAAAATTTAAGACGGCAGAGGAAGAGCTACAAAAGAAAATGAAAAAATACACATTCGCGGTTCTAATGAAATGCTATATTAAATATGCAGGTATTCACTGTCTCCGAAAAATGTAAATGAAACAGTGAAAATGGCAGAAGGGGAGGGTGGGGGTGCTTACACTATCATGGGTCCATATTGAAACATTTTCTCTCTCTCTCAAAAAAAAAAAAAAGAGAAGGGGGCCTCGCTTAGGATTTTACGGTAATCTAGAAGGATGTCGGCAAACCATTGGTTCTCTCATCCATTCTGCTGTCTTCCTGTCCCTCAGAGTCATGCCTATCATTTTTGACATTGTGTAAATGACAGTAATTAACACTTATAGAAATATAAGTATGAATAAATTCAAAGCACCACATACCGCTTCAAAGAAATACTGTGAGAATTTTACAGCGTCCAGAGTGGCTGATGTAACGATCAGCTTCAACTGCGGCCTTTTCTTGACTGCCTACAATGAATATGAGCAAAACAAGAAAAACATTAAAGAAAAATACTGCAAGGAACCGAGAAAGTGTCAAAAGGAAAAATCATTTCAATCAGAGTCACAATACTAAAAACATTGCGTTCTATTTACCATAACAGTGCCATGCAAGCTTCGTTCGCTCCCATTGCACGGCTTATATTGCTGCCATTCGACATATAAATGTCGGTGACATTAAGCAATGTAAGAAACACTTTTGAACAAAGCAATACTTTTCCGGAGGGAGAAGCTTCTTCATTTATCTTGAACGGAGTGATGATAAGATAGGAGCGATGATAAGATAAAACAATGAACAGACAACACAATGAATAGACAACACAATAACATAATACACAGTGCCACATACATTTTTTAGGAGGCCGAACAAGACGTCGGTGTGTATGGTCCTCTCGTGGGCCTCGTCAAGCATGATGATGGAGTAGGAAAGCAAGTCCAAGTCGATAAGGCATTCCCGCAGTAGCATACCATCTGTCATGTACTTTATTTGTGTCTCTGGGCTGGTGCAGTCTTCAAACCGAATTGTGTAGCCAACCTGAAATGGATGACAATGAACCAGGTAAGAACATGGTTTTTGAATCTAGTGTAGCGCACACTGGGGGCCACATAGACTAAATAGTGAGAAAGACAATAAATTAATGAGACAAAAACAGCACATAGGGCCAGTTTCATCTCAAACGTTATGGTGAGCCCTGTTTACTTGCATTCCTGGGTCAAGGAATGGAAGATGCGTCTAGAAAGTGCACAGATAGTGTAAAGCTCCAACTGTTATATGCTAGTCCAAACAAACCTCAAGCTTTAGGTTGCTCGCACTTTCTGGAGATCAAGGTGAGGAAACCACAGCTCACCTCTTGTCCCAGTCGGCAACCAAATTCTTCGGCCACTCTCTTGGCCACAGACATGGCCGCCACACGCCTCGGCTGAGTGCAGCCTATCTTTCCCCTTGTTGTGAAGCCAGCTTCTGCCAGTACTGCGTGATCTGTGTCGTCTTTCCCGAGCCCGTTTCGCCAATGACGATCAGAATTTGGTTATCCATAACAGCCTGGGAGAGGTTAAATACACAAATAAATACACCACTGTGCTAATTACAACAAGACAAAATTTAGTCTGCCTTCTTTCTCTGGTTTTAATAAACCTTGGAGCTTCTCAAAAGCATAAAAATTACGAATGAACGATATTTGACTGCTTCAAATATTTTCAGTAGTCAAATCAACTTCAAAACAAATTTAAATTGTTTGAAATTTCGAAGTATTTGAGAACACATACAGGCATATTAGACTGCAGACCTTATAAAATGGTTTCACTGCAGCGTGAGTGCTGCTATGCTGTGAAACCACCTATCCACTGTCCAAGGGAAATACGCACTGACCCAAAGCCACACTTCAAGGTTAAATGTATACATATCACATGGAGCTCGATTAATTATTTTTTATAGCTTAAAAAGCAAGTTATAAGGGCTTGTATGTGCTAAGTGAAGCAAATTGTAAAATGTGACATATTCTAAAGTGTGTAACTTGAGCCATATTAATATTCAAATCTTGCCCTTACTTCAATTTGCTTCCACTTCAAAACAAAAAAATGGCCCTGTAGCTGCATGTTACACTGCAAAAGTCGTCGAAAGACGATAGTCTTGCGTCTGGAGAGCGTGAACAAAGCGTTTATTTGATGTTCTGTGCAAGAAAATCAGTAAATGGTATTCTGTAGGTGCTGCGTTAGAATGCCTCGAGCGTGCAGCGGAGGCGAACGAGCGCATCAAGTCACGTCACATATAAGACATGAGCACAATCTGGCAGCTATCCTGGAAAACGAGGTGTGTGCCGTGCGCGCCTGTCTCTGAGGTGATAAGGTGTAGAACACAAGGCGACGGGTAGGTGCTACCACCGTGTCGTCTAAGCAAAGCGTTGGAAACACTTGCCGTTTCGTGCAAGTGTCGCATGGCCAGCACAGCGTTACAAAGGCTACGATCCTTAAAATTACTAATGTATGCCTTTTCTAGTGAAAAATACACATACACAATATTGACGTGTTGTTATAGTGCCTCAGATATGTGCAATAATTGCTTTTTAATTGACAATGACACAAGTATGAGCACTGAACTTTGAGCAATATTGGTGGGCGCTGCGGATAGAGTCGGCTCTCTAAAGTATCATTTCGTCACTTTGGTGCCGTTTAGGGTACCGTTAAGGGTGAACAAACAGACAAATGTACTGACAGACCAAAATTTTTGCTTCGAAGGTCCCCAAGAAAGACTATCGTCTTTAAAAAGTGACACTTGCACATACCAATTTCAATAGCAAAGACACTGTGCAAGTTAGGTCACGACAAAAATGCTTATTTTTTTTCAATGTCTGATTTATTATATTTGAAATTATTCGATGAAGTCATTACTTGTTCATCCCTAATAAAAATGAAAAGAAAAAAAATTACATAGAACCAAAAAACACAAGTGTCCTTCTCCATGCTGACACCAAATCTTCATACGAAGAAATATATTTGAAGAAGTTGCTCTTCCCATCTATCGCTACCTAATTCGCAACAATGATACTGAAGGACTCTAGAATACTTTGAGCTGTCTTGTCTGTCCTAATGTGCATTGTAGTCTCAAAATAATTGGGCATTTTCATACTCGGCGTTTGTTTTCATCAAGCTGCCATTTCATTGCAGGATTCAATATGCAGTGAGCTTGGTGCATGGCTCATTAAACAAAATGAATACATTACTTACAATAAAAATATGCGGCAAAATAACAGTATGCAGCAGAACAAGCACTAAATAAATACGTGTATCCAGCAATGGCCACACGTAAGTGAGCGATCCATTTATGCCATAAGCATCTACTCTGATGCAACAAAGCATTGAAGAGGAGAGAAAAAAAAATGTTTCAGCACAAGAATTAAAAAAAACACACACATAGTAACCATGTTAGAGAGCAGAAAGAAGTGGTAGGTCACATGCAGTTTTGAGAAGAGAGACAGTGAAGTGCAAGGACATGATGACACCATACTTTGCACAGTTTAAAATACCAGTACATACAAAAGTAGTGACAATGTATACAAATTACCTGCATACACTGTGCATTCAGGCACATAGCTTCAATTCTAACCCAGCCAGCTTCGTAAGAAGTACTGGTAGAATATTCCATGCCAGTTTCTTTATTTACTTTATTAATAGCAGCTGCTAGCGCAAGGACAGCGGTAAGAGGCCTTAATTTGTTGACAGTGACAGAAAATCACGAACCCTACACAAACCAACTCAAGCAATGAAGACTGATTGTTGGCCTAGTTGGTATTCGCTTAATGACATACTTTGGCTGCCAATATCACAAACACAGAGTGCTTGTCACTTGTCGTTGTGTGTTCCATTACTCTGTGTTTGTGACATTAATAAAGCAATCAAACTTCACTGATTTTAACAAGCATTGTGAACAGACGAGACTCGCATGCTTTCTGCATGCTTTTCGCTCATAATGATGTTCCTAACGCATTAGAATTAAAGAGCGCAATTGAAAACTATGGGCCGGGTACTCCTTTGAGGCAAGCACGGCCTGTAAACTCAACAATTGCACTGTGTATGTTACAGAAAACTATTTTTGCAAAGAACACTACTTAGTTCCTAAAGCAAATAAATGGCATGCGAACAATGCTGACCTTAACCAGTTCGTCCTTGAGCTTGTAGATGGGAAGTGACTGCCTCTGCTCCAATATGGTCATCTGTGTCTTTTTGCCATACGAAGCCTTGGCACCGCCGGTCACATGCTTTTTCCACTCTGGCAGCTCCTGGGTCATCAGGCCAATGCCCCGCATATTGGCGGCCAGCGTCCGTCCATCCGCTGTCGTGAAGAATAATCCAGACTACTCTCAACGAGCCTGCCTTACAGAGAGCAGCACTGAAGAAATTGAGAAATATCGCCCATTTTTGTGCTCTACAAGCCGCACTTATTCTTCAGAAACATAACCGAACCAGCTTACAACCCTATGGTGATCCCGACAAAGGAACGACACAGCTCAGATTCACATGCCTCGCAGAAAGCATCACGAATATGTTTCTCTCAATACCACAAGCTGAGCCGTTGCTTGCATTCACTGGTCTGCTTACAATGACAGAAACATAGCTTTAGAGGAAAGGTGATACTAACCATCAGGCATGGGATCAATCCAGTGCTTATTTAGGCCTGCAGGAATGGAGTCCATTTCTGCTTCTCTCTGTTGTTGTTTCTGTTCCCGGCGTTCTTTGGCAAGTGCAGACTGCATCATGGCTGCTTGAGCCAGTGAACCATCCGGGTTCTGCCCAAAGAGAGAGAAATGAGAAAAAAGAAAGCAGGGTATAAATACTATAATCACGCCACTGATGTAAAATGGGCTAATACAGTTAATAACTGCCTGACATGCCACTCTAAAGTTTTACTTTTTATTTTCTCTATGTTTCTATACTCTTGCCTGTTATCACAGCTTTTTGCACTGCACACACCACACTACTGTGATGGATTTTGCTTATCAGAGTACCGCAGAATGTGATGAAGGAGATGTGTATAGTAGGACGCTACTTCGAGGTGCACAGGTGCTAAAATGAAAATGTATACCTAACATGCATTCAAAAATTCTACAAATATCAATTGAAAAAGTCAAGCATTCATACCACTCCTACTGTGATAAATACCTAGTGGCATATATATATAGACAATTCTAGACTTGACCAGCATACACTGGCTTTCGCATTTTCTATGAACCCTAGCTCATCGAAGCAAATCACTGATCTTCACAGCCAACAAATGAGATAAAGGACAGCAAAGTTTTCTTTAAAAAAAAAAAAACATGTACATTTAAGGTAGAGATTACATACCTTGACAATCCTCACAGGGCTTAGGTCTTGCAGGTTTGACCTTCCATGACCTCTCAGGAAAGGTGGTTCTTCTTCAACCAATTCAATCTCCAAGTCTTCCTCTGCAAGAACAAGTTAGCAATAGGTTGTACAGTTAAACCTGGATATAACGAAATTGATAAATTCCTAGAAAAATTCGTTATAAACAGTATTTCGTTACATGCAGGTTTGGTACGAAAATTCGAAAATAAACGCACAAATTAAACAAAAGGGGGACTGAAGGCAGAGCCAACTCAAAACACTTATTTTACAGTAAAGAACTGTGTTATTATTGCCAATTATATGGACTCTCTCGGCGGGTTTTTTGCTGCCGCTGTCATGTTCCATAACAAGTCCAAATTGATAACATGCCCTCGCGCATCATAACTTTCCCGAGCGGGTAAAAACGCGCGAGCACTGCTGAAGCAGAGGTCAAATAAGTCAGCCCATCCCTATCGACTAGAAAGTGCATAACATCTCCCGCGTGTTAGAACTGCTGCCGAATGCTCAAACACAAAGTAAACCCCCTGTCTTATACGAGCACGAAACAATGCGGGGGGGGGGGGGGGGGGATATCGCTCGAGTAGCAATAATGAACTTGGATTTTAAGGGTGGTCGCGATCGCTGGCGCGCTTGCTATCTCGGCGAGTATCACTGCAGTTTCATTGTGAAGGCACTGTGTGAAAAGAGCGAAGTGATCCTTGTGCGCTCGGCAAACGCAATCGCTCCAGTCAAAGTCGAAGGCACACGATTCTCCACACCAAAGGATAAGTGCGCGCGCACAAGCATCTAAAACTCCCCCCCTCCCGAATTCGCCGGGCAAAGTAGGTGTGGGAGATAAGCACGCGTTGGCACATTGTGATGAGCTGGGCGCCGAGCGCGGGCGGCATTTTTTATTTTTCTTTCTTGAGTTGTCATGTATATTTATATATAGGTACGTATACATATACAGTGAATGAAGACGAAGAAAAAAAAACAGACGAGATTGTCCCTATACATAACTGCCATCGCAATAAAAAAAGCAAAGCTGAACGCCGTCAGCGAACACACCATGCGCCCGCAGTGAAACTATGCACGCACGCACAGCCTCGAAAACGAAATGCGAACGACACAGAGACAGACATCGCAGAAAACTACTATTAGGTAAAGCGCCCTTCATATGCGGCGCGGCACCACATATGTGATGCTAACTAAAAGCATGGCACTGCCAATACGCAAAAGTAGGTTTTATTTCTTTGTTTAAGTAAGGGGGGGGGGGGGGCTACATCAGCGCATGCGATTGCGGCGGCGAGAACGAGAGGCAACGCCTGCTCGTGGAGTGCAGGCCCACCTGCCCGCCTCACGCGGAAGCGGGCCGCGTATTCCGTCGCCGCCGCTTCGCACTTCCTTGGCGGCAGGGAAGCCGCGGAAGATACATGCTTGTAGCAAAATGCCAAAATGCAGAGCGAAATTCCTAGATTGTCCGTGGGGAAAATTCGTTATATCAAGGTTGCCTCCCCCAGTTACTTTGTTACATAGAGGTCGCAAATACATGTGCTTCTATGGAGCAACTGTGGGAAATAGAAAAACTTCATTATATCGAGAATTCGTTATATGGACTGTTCATTATAAGCAGGTTTAACAGTATTAGTTGAAGGCTGAACAATAACAAGCGCTACAGGTTGAGATATAGAGTGGAATTCCACAACACACGTACCGTCATCATCTTCTTTGGGCAACAAGCCAGTTGTCTCGTCAAAGTCGGGGAGCTCAGATTTGTCTATACAATTTGCAGACAGCATCTGAAAAAGGGACAAAGCTGTAAGCTGAGTGACTTTTCTCGAACAGTGATTTTCCTGGACTGTAAGCTGTACATGCGAAACCAAAGGAGTGAAATATACATTTTTTTTTTCGCGGCAACAATACATCTCCTATCAGCTTCTTTGTTTTAGTTTTCGTGTATACAGCCAAACATTTTAAAAATATGCTCTACAATACACTAATATTAACACAATTTACATGATTCTCTGTGTTCATTAACTTAGGACATTTTAGTTGTCCATCTTGTAATTTTTGACGAATGAGTTAAAATGATGTAACAGCGTCTTAAAGGAGCCCTGCTACACTTCTTGAGCGTGGTCAGAAAGTGCTGCCTAGGAGTTAGCCAAGACATCCGAGAACACTCGTACCAAATATAGTGTAGCACGCGGCCTGAAATTTACAATACATCCTCAAAGCTGAAAAATGCATTTTCTTCTTTCGACAAATGATGCTATAAGCTCAAAATCACTACCTCTCAGGCCAAGTATCAGCCATCGGCTGATATGAGCATGGCACACTCGGTCGTTATTGGGGCCGCTGCAGAAGACCGTGACTTGTCCATGTATGCACGTGCGATCGCAATGAAAAGCCACACATTCGAAGAAAGAAAAAAGATGAAAATTGCACAAGGCCACGAGGCACGCGTGACACATTTTCTTCCCCTTTGCCATCGCAAACTGTTAAGCTTGCCCCGCTTTTGCCAAGACGAGAAAAGAGAAAATGCAATTGCAGCTTGCGAGAAATCTTTGTTACTCTGTTCGCACTAGACGAATTTTGATAATTTTGATAACAAACTCCTTTGGGGAATTCATTCCATGGCTGCTTAGAAATGTTGCAGGACCCCTTTATCAGTAGACATTCTTTTTTGCATATAGTGCCGCCATGCTACAATGCCCATGCTCATGTTTTATCTGATGCAACTCTCCTATTAGTATCTCAAAAACCAGCATGGGAAAGTTAGGTGCAGAATGGCAGCTTCAGTCACACTTTAGGCCAATGTGGTGCTAAGCAGAACAGAGAACGCTCAAAAAAAAAACTTCTGGAAAGTGATTATTGTATGTTTCATTATAAAAGAAACCTAATAAAAAAAAAACCTCTGGAAAGTGATTATTGTATGTTTCATTATAAAAGAAACCTAATATGACATAATACCTTAATCTGATACTACACACATCAAAACTTAAAGTGACAAAACAAACATGAACTAAATGAAAAATTGCATCTGCACCATTAGTTGGGTAGACAATAAATTACGTTTTTTTTATCATGCTGTTTCACTTTCTGAACACAAATTATTTTGTTAAAAGCAGCCACTTAATATTAACTTTAGCATTCTTTTTTTCTTATGCATATCATTTTTTTACCACTGAAAGGGATCATGAACCACTTTGCCACGTAATCACTAATTGAACTCAGTAATGGAGTTCACTGCCTCCCAAATCCATTGCCGCAAGAATTTTTCAAATTCCTCAAGAACCAGTGGAGTAACAAGGATTTGCCCCATGCTTTAAGCACCTTTTCTCTTCTTTGGCCGACTACATAGCCTGGTGCCCAGCATGCAGTGGAATGCCATGGCAATAAGCGCATCTGGTATAGACACCCCTCTTGGTTTATGCACGCTATTGACCAATAGCAGCAATCTGTTCTGTGATGAAAGAACTGTATGATGGCCCTCCAAATCGCGTGAGTACGAGCCTCTTTACGAAGAGGGAGGGGCCTGAAAAAGAGACGACTTCACGGTACTGCTAGTGAACTTTGCTGCAAGATTCGGCAGCAAGATTTGGCTGAGTTGCTCATAGCAGCATCTGCTTTCAGCGGTGTTTTTTGAACAAGCACGAGGAATGGTTCAGGACCCCCTGTGCATCATGATGACACAGTCTTCCTACTGACCTGTTTGATTTCCCACTTCTCGGGTGAGGAGATCCTTTGGACACGCCGACGATTATCAACGTCATCGTCGTCGGGGCGGGTCAGAAGAGGCAATGAACAAGGTCGATCTGGGTTGCGGGCCGACTCGGTGTTATCTGTGTCACCCGCTCGTCGCACTGGATTGAGATCCTCCCCAGTGTCTTGATCCACGTCCTGCACGCAGTGAAATGTAGTGATTAACACTTTCTACCGAGTACTACTCAGCAAGTTTACACCGTTTCTCATTTACACTAGGTTGCAATTAGGTTTACACTAAATTATCAAGCGTGGAATGATGAAAGGAACGATGGTTCGCTAAACACATACCTTCATGGAGAGACTGGTTTTCTGGCCAGTGAAAGACAGCACTTTGACCTTAACACGCTGCCCTCTGGTGACCACGTCTCCTACATTGGTGATACGACCTTCTCTTCTCAGCTGCACAACAAGATACAAACAAGAACATGAAACACATTGTTAGCAGAACGATGTAACCAGCCTGAGATGTGCAGTTGTGGGTGTCGAATTTCTATGAGTTTCAAGGCAGCCTAGAAAGGTGAGCGAACACAGTGGAAACCAGGAATAGACTGACTGATCCTTTTCTTCATTTTTCGAAGTTGCCCAAGCATATGTGAGTTTGAGGGTCGATCTTCATTTTCTTCGCATGAAGGAACTAGACATGCACTGAGCACTATCATCTGTGGAGACACAGGTGATATTTGAAATATGATACGTACTAAATCTGTTAGAAAAGTATCCGATCTTCGGTGGAAGGAAAAGAACTGGCATAATTGGAGCGTTGGAAGCCTGATCTCCCTCAAGGTATTCCCCTTGGTACTCCACACACTTCTCCCAGCGGTGCTGCCAATATTGGAACCATTCTGAGAAGACCTCTGTCGGAATTAAGTTTATCTCAGCTGTCATTGCAGCCATAATGTCCTCCCTTGTCTGAAATCGCTCTCCTTTCAATGAAAGTCATCTTGAGTTTGGGAAGCAGCCAGAAGCCACAGGGGGCCATATCAGGAGAGTAAGGAGCCTGATGAACCACAAATGTCAGACTTTTCGCCAAAAAAGTGTGAACCAAGTCTGAGGAATGTGCAGGAACCTTGACAGGATGAATGCGCCAGTTTCCTGTTGACCACAACTCAAGTCTCTTGTGCCGCACAGCATCACGTACGCAACAGAGGACATCCTTGTAGTACTCTTTGGTGATTGTCTGACCCTGTGGTGCGTACTCATGGTGTACCACACCGTGGGAGTCAAAGAATGCCCTCAGCATTGCTCTGACGTTGCTGCACACTTGGCGGGCCTTCTTTGGTCTTGGTGACGTGGAGTGCTTCCACTGTGATGACCAGGATTTGGTTTCCAGGTCGTACTCGTACACCCAAGACTCGTCACCAGTGATAATGGTGTTAATGAAGTTAGGGTCACTGCTTGCGAAATCCAGCGTGTCCTATGAGACTTCAACATGAAGTTGCTTTTACTCCACCGTGAGCAGTCTAGGTACAAATTTTCGCCGCAACTCTCTTCATGGCCAAATCTTCGGTCATAATGGCATGTGCAGAGAAAGTGCTGATGCCCACCTCTTCCACAATTTTCCAGAGTTACATGAAGGTCCCGCATCACCGCAGCGTTCACTTTGGCAATGGCCTGGTCATTTTGGCATGTTAATGGCCGACTGGAGCGTGGCTCGCTCTTCACCATTGTGCAATCATATTTAAACCAATTGTACCACTCCTTAATCTGTGTGCGGCTCATATCGTCGTCACCAAAAGCCATCTTAATATTCCCAATGGTTTCCTCTTCGCTGTCGCCCAGTTTCTGCCAAAATTTGATGCAGTAGCACTGCTCCAGTCGCTCCCATCACTTTTCTTGGAATGAATAACCGACTCTAGCACTGTGCACTACCTCACTCAAACGCTGCGTCTGAGCGACTGACTCTATTGGCAGGCGGGAAAAATTCATGCATGCGCACCAAGGTACAAGATCGGCTGATGCAAGCGTCCTTGTTTCAAATCCATCAGGTGCTCGCAAAAATAAAATAAAAATAAGCTAGGATACTTTTCTAACAGACCTCCTACTTCATAAGAGAGAACAACTACTATGGCTGACTTCCATGTCAACCCCACTTAATTAGGCTTTATGGTCAATTTGATTCAACAAATGGTTTCAGCCAGCAGTGACATATTCCTGTGTGACCAGGCCTTTGTTACTTAATTTACCTCCAGATACTTATCTTTGCTGGATAACTGAAACTTGACAGGTCATCTTGCTTGTGCGCAACTATGCTCGTGACTGCAGCAGCTAGTCTACTGGTGGTAGTGTCTGTCGACACAATGCCTCTTCTAGAGTCAACACATTCAATGCATCTTTTCTCCAGTCGAAAATACCTTGCCTTTCGTTTTTTTTTTATTGACTAGAAAATCTTATGCAAAAACAGCAGTTCACAATTAGTTGTTACAGTATTTACCGAACCCTAATGTTCAACTTTTTTTTCCCAATATATGTATTTTTTAAATGTTCAGGCACTGCCATGTGATGCTGAACTAAAGACCAAAAGCACATTTACAACAACCTAACATCAACACCACTTAACGACCGCCATGCACTGCTAGTGGAGAAGCATAACATGATTCCAAATAAGCTCTGTCAGATTGTCTCTAGTTAAATTTTACCATCACATAATTAGACCGCTTTCATTGTTCTCATTAAGGTAGAATAAAAGGAAGCCAACAGTAATACATTATTACTGACATAATAATTAGAATACGCACCTGCGATATGTGAACGAGACCTTCCCATCGTTTAGGCAGCCCTTCTAGTTGAACAAAGCATCCAAACTGCATGATGTTGGTGACTTTGCCATTGTATATCTGAAAAACAATAAACAGCGCTCGTATCACAACTACAAATTGACAATCAATACATAAAAACTACATGGGAAACGAGGAGTCTTAGAAAACAAGAAGCTGATCTTGAAAGCACTTGCACAGAACAGAAAAAACACTTTTGTAAATTGTAAAAGCACAGATTGTCCAAAACAGCACCATATTTCAAATGCGTAAAAAGCACATTTTCCCTCTTCATTTAATCCACATTTAAAATTCTGCACTGCGCTTGACAACATAACTGATCACCAATTTGCCCATATATGCATGCTTCCATAAAAACACAACAGTGACATCTTGCATGCACGTTCTTTCCAGAGGAAGAAGGCATAAACTATGCCAACAGTAGCCAATAATAAACAGCACTTGCCAAAACAATCTTGATGCATCCAGCCATTAGTCTGTTCCATTTGCACTGATTGAGAGTGTTGGACAGGAAGGAAAAGCCTCATCTTACCTTACAAGATTGTCGGACACCAGTTCTATAGGCATGAAGTGACGACCATGACAAAGAGAGAGAGCTTAACTCCCGATACTGCCATTTTTTCTAACCAATAGCGTAATTATTTTCACTAATAAATAAATAAAGTGACAGAATATACCATCATATTACGGTGAATCACTACTGAAACTAATAATGTAGACTAAGAGTGATCAATCCCATAAAAGTAATGCTCCTGACAACTCTATTATGACAGTGTAGAATCATCAAAAGTCATTATTTAAAATAATTGGCTGGTAGGTGCATCATATTTAATAGTAACAAGTGATCCAGTAGTGGCCTGTTGAATTCCGAGGAACTCGCAGCTGCTATACATTTTGGAAGTTCTGTGACAAAAAGAAAACTAATAAGCAAAGGAAGGAAGAAAGAAAGAACATCTCTCAATGAATGCACACATAGCATAATCTGCCATAGAAAGGTGAAACAACACCACGAAAGGTCATCAAACCCAGATTTCATGTTCCTGGAAATAAGTGGCACTTGCACAAATCCACCTCAACATATTCCCGTAGCTGATGCAACTTTTCCATCAATGTGGGATTATTGATGTGGATTTTCACAATGAAGAAAACACAAATTTCCAGGAACATGAAATTTGGGTTTGAGTACCTTTCGTGGTGCTGCTTCACCTTTCTATGGCAGATTGTGCCATGTGTGTGCTCATTCAGAAATCCTCGGGAAGAGACAAGTACAACATCCAAGCATAGCATGGAAAGAAATGTACAAAGTTCTAGCTGTGCATGAAATTCAAACACCGCAAAACATAGTGGATCAGCCAGATGTGGTGTTTATACTAATGAAACAATCTCTACAAGAAAACCCGATCCAACAAGACTGATCTCTGGTGCTTTTTTCCCCCGAGTTTGCGCATACACACATGGAAAAAGAAGTCCGAGAGAAGTGACGGACAATGTTCAAAACAGATACGAACTAGGTAAGTTGGTACTGCGTTGGTCCATTTCAGGAAAGGAACGCAGAATGATGGTAGGTATAAGGAAGGATGCAGCAAAAGTCTTATATTACTTCTCATTTCTTGCCTGATGTGCAAAGCCAAACATGAACATTACGAACCTGTCCTACGACGGGATCGGGAGACACGGGCACAGCGCTCCTGTCCTTGCGGCTAGACCCGTGGTGTCGTTCCCTCGACCGAGATCTCCTTCGGTCCCTGCTGCGATCCCGGTTGCGGTCACGGTTTCGGTCTCGGCTACGACTGCGTGATCTGTGCCTTGAAAATCGTTTCGAGTATGGGCTCTTGGAGCGGGAACGTGACTTGTGTCTTGATGATCGTGCAACTGGACTTCGAGACCGGGACCGTGACTTATGTCTTCGAGACCTGTGCAAGTTTGATAGGCATTGCCATCAGAAGATGATCACAACGGCTCTGGTCTTGTTTGGCATTTTAGCTGCCCAAAACTAACAATATACCAAACAATGCATAAGAAAAATTAAGGACGCGAGCATACGGGACCGCTTAAGTTAGTGGTGAAATTGTGACATGTCAGGAGCCCAAAGCATACACCAAAGCATCTCATGTGAAAGTAGCAAGAGCAAAAAATAATTACGATATACATATATGTGAACTCTTATAGAAGTGAAAATATGCAATATGAAAATTGTCCCCATGAGCAAGTTCTCAGATAAAACAGAATAGCCTGCACAAATCCACGTTCACGTAAAGCACTGATACCTACATTGTAAAACCAGAAAGCTGCCTTACTGCCCGAACAGGTGCAAAGTCTAAAACGCATCAAAATATATCTTTTGTAAAACTGGCATAAACTGAGTCGCGATGCACAGCACCAATCAAAATTTGACAATTCTTTGAGTTGATAGAAAGCACGATAAATTATAGATTTCAATTGCCACAAGCTTGTCTTTATAGAACAGTTTCTTAATGTGCCCGACACAAAATATTTTGTAATACAAGCCACTTTATTATATATGTCATGCAACATAATGTTCGCACTATAGGCTTTATAGGAGGTAAGGAACCATTTGTTATGTGAATAGTTTTTTTGTATAGACATTCGACTATAAATTCAGAAGTGCTTGAACTGGCTTACCTACTTGACTTCTCGCTTGTTCGTTCATGATTTTGGCTGCGCTTCTCATCATCAGCATCCTTTTTTCTGAAATGTGTACAAGGCAAAACAAAATTCAGTAAGTTGCTCTGTGAGCATGCCAAGACCATGTTTTTTTATTTATCGTTGGAATAAAAACTGGATGCTAAGACCCTCCTAGCAGCAAAGTCTCACTGAAAAGACCGTACGATGAGTCAGGGAAAGCTAAGTTGTGCTCACATTTCCACGCAAATTGACGAATCAGGTTTTCTCCACGTGTACAATGTTGCAAGAGCAACAAATGGCCCCTTTAGCCAATGAACACGAGAGGGGCAATTCCTTAAACCGAGGATCACTACAAATGCACTAAAGGTACCGAACAAACCCTGCTCAGAAGAACCAGGCATCCCTGTCACACATGAGTAAATATTTAATGGTAATTGAAAATGACATGCTGTGAATAATGAACAACATTGTGCATGTGCTCTCAACTGTCTGTTTTATAGTACCTGCAATTTATTGCTCAGAGTAGCACCAAGAATAACTGAATGGAAACAACTGTCCCACAATGTTGCGTTGCAACCATTCACGAACTTGTTGATGCCCCACATGGTATCCCTTGTTTTTCTTTTCCTTCTATTACCATTGCACTTGATGTGCTGCTACAGTTACACTTTAGGTGTGTTTTTATTTCATGATAATTGTATTATCTTTGTACCAGTACCTACATGTTATTAATTACACTTTATTATTGTTTTTGTTTGCCCTGCTAGTCATACCATAAAGCTATATCCCCATCTTGCGAGAATCCCTTAATGGGATCACAGTTTTTGTGAATAAGTAAATATAACTGACAACATTAGTACAGCTACAAGTTTGATAGATGGCCACAATGAACATATAAGAAAGAGACTGAGCTTTGGCTAAAGCCTTGTGACCAGTAAAAGAAGCACTAACAAAACTTTAGCATTGACAAAATTTGCAGTATGCTTTAATCTGCATCATAGTATGAACATACCTGGCAGCTGGAGCCAACGCCTCAAGCTGTGCGAAGGCATCCGATGCCACTTTGACATCTTCTTCGAGTAATTTCTGAAAGAGGCAATGTAAAATGTGTCACCCATCTTTGTGCCCACTGAAGACAGCTATGGGGAGTCAAACTTACATTGACGTTGGGGTCATTTGGAAGTGCTAAAAATGGAAATCGTTCACGCTTCATATCCAGCTCGGTCTTCGGCTTATCCTCAAAACCTTCTTTAGATGTAGCTCCCGCCTTCTTCGGCCTCATGTGCTGGATGATACGTAGCAAGTTCGCCACGAATGAATCCTGTAAGGAAACAGCGATAATCGCTATACACATATGGCAACTGGCAAGCAAATGACAACCACCATCACTCAGTAACTTGGACAGCCACACTGGATATTAAGGTTTCCTGATGCAATTAGATGTGGCCCGTATGGCTTACTGCACAACAAAACACATCCGCATAAGACATCCGCATAAAGCAACGTAAGGAAGTATGTAAAATGGGACACACAGGTGTCTTTAAGCTCGCCTTCTTCCCATTCATCATAATCATATAGTTGGTGCAACATTGTAGTTTATTACTCATTAAATTTGTCGTAGTTTTTAAAGCAGTAGGGTATATTACTTCTGGGACACCTACTCCAGTTCTCAATGACGCACATTAAAAAAAAAGGGGGGGGGGGGGTGACAGCTACAGATGAGGAGACCTGAGCAATGATTTAGGTGACAGTTGCAAAGCAATTATTTGATCAAAAAGCTTAGAGCAAATATATCTTATTTCTGTTTTGAGGTTGCATCGAGCTTTTTCTTTGGGCTGGTTGTTGTTGATTACAATGCATGAACAATGTACTAAAATGTGTTGACTACAATGTACAATGCTGTTAAGGTGTAATTGTTGACTAAAATATGTCTGAGCGAGTCAAAAAGGCTGTACGACATTTTTGATCCACCTTGATGAGAGGTCGTCATACTTCACTCATTGAATGACAATGCCAGTGGCACTGCATCTGACATGAACGTACTTTTGAGATTGGTTGGCTAAGTATAGGTACCCTAGAAGGACTGAAGCATTGTGAGGGCCACTGTCACCCTAGTAATCACAAATGATTGATTGATTGATATGTGGGGTTTAACGTCCCAAAACCACCATATGATTATGAGAGAAGCCGTAGTGGAGGGCTCCGGAAATTTCGACCACCTGGGGTTCTTTAACGTGCACCCAAATCTGAGTACACGGGCCTACAACAAGTAATCACAAATAGATATTAATGACAGTGAACTTATGAAGCGTGATATGGCACAGTTCAAGTAGACTGTAGTATGTCATAAGGTCACTGGAGTCCCTTGGTGTTGCAGTTTTAAACAATTTGTGAGCTGCTGTGCGTCAAGCCATAGACCAATACATTGGAATACCCTGTGTGTCTTCAATGATCCACAGATATTCTTCAGAATCAAGCTTAATAACTTCGTGCCATAGGGGCAAGTAATAGCAGAAGCAGTAACCGTGGTAGTGCAGCATTTCACAAGGACCACTATTTTACTGAAATTCATGTTAGCCACACCACGCATTTAGGAACAACAAGATACTAGTTGACTGTCTAGATGAAAAACACGATTCTAATCATTAAATCATGTCCACTAACGGGCAATATCCTTACAGCGTATGGTTGTACACAGGAACGCAGTAGAGTTTACCAAGGTACTGACCACGCTAGTCGCGGAAACAGAAAGCAAATCACAGTGATTGAACGAACACGAAGTCGTAACGTCTACATCATTTTCGGCAGACATGCATAACATCTCACCAAGAAATTATCGTGGGAAAGAAATGGTCACTATAGCTTCATTATCAAGTCAATATTCAGTGTGTGGTAGAAATTTGGAACACGTCACGGTAAATTGATTCCGGTAACTATACATATTTAGCCAAGTATTTACCTCGTCGCATCCGAAGCAGAAAGCGGACTCGGATCCAGATGTAAACAGTATTCGGAAAGTAGGCACTTACTGAAAACTCCGCTTCGTTTTCTTGCAAAGCCTTCTTGAACGACTCGAACGTGTTGTTTTTGTCAGCCAGGTCAATGATGAACTCGGCTGCACGAAAATAACGTCATTGAGTTTCAAGATCGTTAATGACACACATCAGGAAGTTCGAACACGAATAAAGAGACTGTACTTAATCACAACTGCGATAACCACACACCGATTCGGCAGGCGCCCCGAAATCACTCACCCATGTCTTTATCATTGATTCCTAAATGGTTGTCCAATTCTGTACAAATTTTTGACACCAGAGACAAATACTCGAGCTTGGCGATTTCGTTCATCTTGGCCAGACGGCACGAAGTGCCGATTCGGCGACTGCAACACAACGAGTGGTTGAGATTGAGGTGGTTCTAACGTGCGTAACGACCCGAGTCGTTGCTTTCAGTTAGACCTCAGCATTAATATTAACTTGACAAGTTTTTCGTCATCGACGCACAAAATATGATGCACTGAGCGCGTCCATCTTGAAGTGAACTGGTGGCGCCGCTGAGTGGAGCGCCGAAGCAGTTTCCGGTTCCGGACATCGTTTCTGTTTGTTAATTTTCGCACGCTGCTTATTTACCGGTGTTGCGTGTGTGTCGTGTGTGCGGTCTGTATCTGCCAGCGTACTGTGCGATCTGTGCTGTAGTTGGTTTGGCGGTTGTCAACGCCACCAGTCGTGTACGGAACAGTGCGATGAAACTAACGACACTCTTACAAAAGATCGTATAACGTCGGATCCCTTTTCTCTTCTTTTCTTTCCACTGTAACATGCTTTTAGTTATCCTCCTCGCCGTGACGCTACCTCTATCATTGGCCATTTGGTCCTTGTCAGTGGTTTCGTCTTGGTACACTGAAAGTAAGTGGCGTCTTTCTCTCTTTGGAAAATTATTCGCCGTGTGGCGTGGGCCTCGCGGGTTTGTAGCTATTTCCTCGAAGCTGTTTGATGCAGCATTTTGACGCATGCTCTTATTTCGTGTGTGTTGTGTTTGCAGGTGTTGCGCCTCCCACACCTCTGCGATTCTTCTTTTCCGCGTTCATTCCGATTTTAATATCAGCTTGGGCATACAAAAGGAAAAGCCTCGACATTTCAGGAGCGTTGTGTGGTTAGTACTGTTGTTGATGTGGTAGGATTTTGCTGCCCGGAATTTCGCTCTGTTCGATTTGAAGGTTGTAACTTATTGGCGGCTTGTTTTCTCGCTGTTTCAGGTGTGGTAGTCGGCTTCATTTTGACCTTTAGCAGCTATCTGTTTCTAGCGAGCCTATTCGCTTTCTTTATTTCATCCTCTCGAGCAACAAAGTTTAGATCCGAGCTGAAAAAGAAGTTCGAACCGGACCATAAAGAAGGTGAGTTTGATACTATTATACTACAATGCAAGAATTGTTCCCGTGTATATAAAAAGTTAAATTTCCTGTGATTAATATCACAAAGTCTGATTAACCATTTTGCTAACTTTTCCTCCTCTTGAATTTGCTGATGCACTAATAAAAAATGTTTTGGTACGCACAGAATATCTCTAGAGTGCAACGCATTCCACTTTCTCGCAATAAGCTTACGGTTAGATGTCAAATCGCCAATGAAAATGTTATTATGATGTTTTTATTGCAGTACAATATCACAGGCTTTAATTACATCACACTTAAGCAATTTGTTACCCTACAGCCAACATCAACACATTTCACTTTTTGCAGTTTGCACTTTGAACCGATCGTAGCTTACCAGTCCTCAACGAAAAGAGCTACGTTTTTAAAGCTGTGGACACTTGTCTGTGCCTGTGAAACTTTACGTTATTGTACGCTTTTCACAGGAGGGCAGCGAAACTGGGTCCAGGTACTCTGCAATGGTGGCATTGCAACGGAGTTTGCTCTGTTGTATGTGCTAGAGTGCGGGATGGGCGAAAGGCTGGTGGATCTGGGCAATGCGTGGCAGTGCACCATCCTCTCGCTGGCCGTACTCAGCGCCCTGGCCGAGAGCTGTGGAGACACATGGGCGTCGGAATTTGGCAGCGTGCTCTCCAGGGGAGACCCTTTCCTCATCACATCGTTTCAAAGAGTACCCAGGGGTGAGACAGATCTCTGAGTTAATGTTTACTACATGTGCTGTTTGCTTGATCATTGATTCGTTCAGCAGACTGCTAACACTGTTTACCTGTGAGTGATGCTACTCCTTTCTCCCAAACACTCAATCAGCTATCCTGACTGTCATGTTTTCAAATAGTAAATAGAGAGAATGAGATTTCGAAAACCCCCCCATGGTAAGTGCAATGCATTTAGAATGCCACTTTATACCAGGCGACAGTTTTGCTAATATATCCGTCATTTGTAAATTGTGCTGAAAGAAAGATGTCACTTTTTTTTTGTTGTGTGCGTTGTACTCATTTTTACTTTTGTACACGAATACTGTACGAATACTGTAGATCTTTTCATATGTTATCGATGATTTGGTTTATCAGCTGGATAAAGGATTGTCTCACTGATAGCGAGCTCACCCACAATAATTACAGAGGCACAGAAAAGCAATGTCAGAAATAAAATACCTCAGTGTAACAAACCAGTTCGTATTGCTGCGCTAAATATTCCCAGTGCCGGGAATTGTGCGTCGTTTTTTCACAAGTTTACATTGCAAACTTGGTGGGCCATGTTTTGGGATGCAAATTTCGGGTACCATCTTCAGGTAATATAAACTGGATTAAACAGTTGTTCTGACATACGTGAGCAATGCGGGCTTTTTGTTGTGTGTGTGAACATTATTTTGATCTGTTGCATCATAACTTCTTTTTAGTTCATTCGAAGCTCGATAGACAGGCATCTCAATTTTTCCGAAATTGCTTCTGCTGTGGTCGTGTCTTAATTCAGTGAATACATTTTTTCCATAAGAATATCGCAAAAAATGATAATATCGCATCACAGTTCTGAGAACAGATAGTATGTGTGTAGCTTGATAACAGATAGTATGTGTGTAGCTTGATAACAGAAATAACATGCTAGAAATTTGAACATTTGATATTGAATCATATTAAAGGAAGAAAGGGGAGGGGCGAAACCATTACTTTTCACATTCTTAATTCTACAAACATTCAAAGACTCTAATTGCCGTCCCCGTGCTATTGGTCTTGATAAGTGTAAATTATGCTGCACTGTCTGAAAATGTGCGAATTTTATGCATTATTCTAGGGCACTCTACATTTCATTTCGAGAAAACAATCCAGCTAATTTCCAGTTGTTTTGTGCAAGTTTCCATAATTAATTATGTAAATAGCTTTCTCAAGACTCTGCAATCTGACGTTTCATTCTTGCTTTATAAAAATGATCAAAAGCTTGTGTTTGATTTGCATGCATATTTTGTTTTTGATTCTATTCACGTTGAGCAAACAAGAGTTATCATTTTGGCATGCCCTCTGAAATATAGCATGTTGGTTAGTTCATCAAACATAGCAGCCTCTCCAGCATTACTCAGTATAATTAGGTTGAATGAGCACCATGTGTGCACAACTATGCACCTTGCGTTTCGAGCCAGTTGAAGTAACTTGTGGTGTGTGACACGCCGTCATGATTCATGTGTTTAATTCGTGTATAGAGTTGTACACATTGCCACCATAGGGTGTAATCTGACAATTCGAAATAATACTTGCTTGACCCCTTCCTCTTTTTTTCTTCCGGTGCTCTTAAAAATGTTCTTTTTTGACCATCCATATCAACTTTCTTTTCGCACTCTTCTTTTACAAATATTGATCATCCTCTGTGTGTTCTGCGATCATACTGTGTGTTCTTTTGTGATTTCCTGTAATTGTACTATGTTTATTATGTACCCTAAACGTGTTCCGCACTGCTTTTTTCTTCACTTTCTGTTTAATTTTCACACTGCCGATGACCCCGAGATGTTATTAAAAAAAAAAACTCTAGGGCAGTGTTATTCATTAAAATATCAACTTAAAGACTTTGTCCTCTGGGCTTTTGCACTCGTGTGTCGTAATGGCATGCCTTTGATTTTGTTCATGCATTATCATCAAGCTCACGAACCAATTCCATGCTACTGAGATTGAAGTCCTCGGGTGGGAACATTGTACGCAGGTAAATGACTGATTTGTATATGTGCCTTTGTTGCCGGCTACACGAGATAACTGTAGCCAAAGATAGCCTGCCATCAAATCAAGTGCAAGTGGAGTGCAAATAACAGAATGGCCCAGATAGGATGGCCGCCGTACCCTACTTGGCAGTCTTTGTTGTCTAGGCCAAGTTCATGGGACTTGCATATTTACGGACATTTGCATGTGTTCTTCAGTCTATCTAGATAGCTGATGCTAATTTCGAAGAAAAAAAAAAGCGTGTTCACTCCTTACATTTTTTAACGTTAAGAGTGTGATTTCCTGGCTGTTTTGCAGTTTCAGGACAGCGACTTATCGTAAGTGTCAATTACATATTAGATGCACACCTTCTTTCTGTAAACGAATAAAAAATTTCTCATTAGGCCGCGTATTAAGCTTTGTTGTTTTGTTAAGGGGATAGCCATGCGTATAGCCTAGCTCTCGTAGACCCAGGAAAAAGTGACGCTTACAATAGAGGAAATGTCAGATGGTTCGTATCTTTCCTCCCTTGCCTCTTTGTTTATTTTCAGTTGCAGCAAGCATCTTCTATTTACCGACCACATACATCCGAGCTACACTGTAAATTGTACTCTGTCTATATATGATAATTACATGCACACTATTATTCATATTTCTTTATTTACATGTCACCATGCCTGAATCAACATCATTAGATGCATAGACAAGTAGACAAAGCAATTGGGAAGCTAGGCTAACACTTTTTTTTCAATTGTTGTTCTCACATCAGAGAATATACTTCTTTTTTTACAAAACTTGGAATAATACTATCCTTATCTGCCAAGCTAATTCTTGGGAAGGTTAATCCTTCCTTTTTTTTTCTCTGCCACAAAATGGGGCGTCAATATGTCCTCGTCTTCGTGACATCATGTTCCGTGAAAGTTTTTAAGGAAAAAGTCTTGAAGAACATTGCAGTTAAATCTCACTGACTTGTTTTTTGTTCAGGTAAAACATTGTTGGCATTTTTATTTAAATACATAAAACAGAAAAAATATTTTTTCATGTACATTCATTCTTTCAAGTTTTTTTAAGTTAAATTGATGGGGTGAAAAGGAAATACTTTAATTTTGGAAAAATACTTACCTTCTAAAGTAATTATTATTTTTTCAAAAACTATGCAAACTACTAAATAAAAAATTAAGCAAGAATCAATATTTCTATAACTACGTAGTAAAGTAAGCTATTCAAAAAATTTTGTGAAAAGAATCCATTAGACTGGGCCCATGTGCACAAACCAGCCTTATTCTTACCTCTAGTTTTTCTTGTCACTTTCAGCTCCTTGATATGCTTCACAAATAAATATCCAGTCAATATTTACAAACCAACCCTAGATCTCTGTTCAACTAGATAATCCTAGTTATCTCTGTTTATTGTTTTTGTGCAGGGCACAGAAATGACAGGGAAAGCTGGTGATAAGATTGGCTAATCAATAAGGGCCAAGTGCAAAAATTACATAGATGATACAGGGCATCAGATTATAGAAACAATCTTGGAGTAGGCATGAGCAGAGCTCACATAAGGGATGTGAGCTATAAAACAGCAGTATAACCTTGTAAGCGCTTGTAAGCTGTACGTAAATCTGCAGTATAACCTCTACTTGAGTTGATAAAACAAATTTAGTCTACAGAACTCAGATATGTTCTTCTGGTGCACAGTTTTCAAGGAGGAATGTGCTGTTTCTCAGTTTTCTTTTTTTTTAATTTATGAAATTGGGAACTTTGAGGCCCTTTATCAATAATACTCTTTTAGCCCTTCTCGGAATTCAGAAATGTCTCTTTGTTGAAATTCATTTAGCGATATATATGTTTAATGCAGACTTGAAGGCTTCAGTGTGGAAAATAGAGTTGGTAGCTAACCAGCACTTTTCAAAAATGCATACTGCGTGTAGGCATATATTACATGATTCACACATGAACACAGCAGTGATGTTCCGTGCGGGGAATTCACCATTTTTTGGAGAATTTTCGCCTTTCATATTGAACCAAAGGGAAAAAGGGAATCTTCGTGATATTGCAGGGAATTTCACGAATGGTTAAATTCTCTTCTAACGACTGATAATTAGCGGTCACAGTGTGCTTTTATCAGCTGTAATCAATTCTAACATATGCACCACGCAAGCATGGTTTTTGAGATTTGTTTCTGTTTCATGGAGCGATTTCTAGTTCACTAGTGAGGGTTAGACTTGAAGCCCACAATGTGAAGTGTACTAACAGTATATGAATTAATAAAGTCATGCTTTTGTTGTGCGGCAGTGGAGGGGCTAGTCATGATGTCAAAAGTCCCCAGTACGTGAGGCATGTGTGATTATAGTATGTGTGTGCGTGGAGGGGGGTGGACACCAGTACTGTTGTGTAGAGAATTTCATCCACGTTTGCTGGGAGAAATTTCTGAAATAACAAATTTATATATCTGAATGGTGATTCTTCGGTGTAGTATGGAACATCACTGGAACACAGACGTGTCATTCAGCAGACATGTGCCACTTGGTTAAATTTATGTACACCAAGCGTACATATCTAACTGGACATTGTGGTTGTTCTATCACTCCCTGTAAAGTCATTTGTGCCTCGTGGCACACACATGTCCTGTGAGTAGGCCGCAGTCAGGGTTAACAGCAGTCGAGCGATAGGTGGCGCTATGCTCGCGAGCATTTATTGTCATCATCACTATTATGGTTAGCACGGTAGCGCCAGCAGTGATGCCTGGAGGCAAGGCGAGGTGCCTGACAGAAAAGATTGGCGAGTCTCTTTGTCGTGTGGTGGTTGGCGCAAACGGTTGTCGCCTGCGGTGGTTCATAAATGGACGGCACCGCGGGTCACCTGCAGTGGGCCCTCGTGCTGAGTCAAGAGTTGGCGGCGGCACCTTCGCGCTACCTTGTGTTTGCTCTTATGTTTAATTGAGTGTAATGGAATATTGTGTAAGGTTGTTTTAGCGTCCTGGTCACTAGTGATGTATTTTGATTTGGCTGGCGATGCCGTCGATGCAAAAGTAGTTAAGTGAATGTGGCATTGGTTTTGGGTCCGACCGCATCTGCGGTGTCTGTCCCGAGAGAGTGCCTCATTTTTAAGATGCCACAACATTCAATACTTATATCGCATCTACTTAACTGAAACTTAGCTATGATTTTTCGTGAAGAAGATTGAAAATCCAGTTTTTTCATTTTTAACACACAATACCCACCCCCTCTGTAATGCCCTACGGGCCCTGAGGGTATTCTAATAAATAAATAAATAAATATGGCCTTCACATCTCACAAAACAAGAAACGTGGCTTTGTCCTCCCATAGAGTAATTGCAAATTTACTCACACACCAAAGGAAAATTTTTAACTGTGAGGCGACATGCTTTCCTGCGATCACTTCGCAAAAAAAGTTTTTTTTTTGATAATCATTTTACACAACTTTCTTAGCAAAAATGGCATGCATGACAAAACTGTCTGGCACTATTGTATTTAATTTTTTAAAATGAAAGCCCGGTCATGAGCTGTAATGCCGTCCTGGGCACTACCCACATTTAAGTGTGAACTGAAACAATCTGTTTTATGAAAGTCATTATGTATGTTTGACGGGCCTGTAGTATTGACTAAAAGGCTGGACTTCTGGATTACCCTAATAGTTTATTTTAAGTCATCCTTTTGATTTTAACATTTAAGATTGCTTGTAAGTATGTAAATCAGATCCCAGGAATGTTTATCTCTTGCCAGCCTTCACACAATCTTTGCTTGTTTGTTTATTTCCTGCAATTTTATTTCCATTCTGGTAAAAGTTTCTTTTTATATGCTGAGCAGGCAAATGCTACTCTCCGTGAAATTTCTCATGTTTGTTTTTGTGTGAAGATTTACTGTTTCTCTCTCGTGAATGCCATTGCCTGAGAATTTATCTCTAAATGAAATTCCACAAATTATGGACTTTCGTACTTTTGATATTCGTTGTTAACAAATTGCTGCTAGAAAATAACGCATCCACTGTTTCCTTAACGCCAGCTTTTCGGTAGTCGTAAAAGTGTATACCTTGTGAATGCTCACACTAGTTTTACATGTGTATGCTTTCAGCAGTTTGTTTTTTTCTTGCCCGAGTCAAATGACAGAACTATGGTTGTTGATGCCTTGTAGCACAAAATTGGAATGTGCTTCTTCAGGGACGTTAATCAGTAATAAATTTGAAATGTTTAACCCATGCGTGAAATTCAGTACCAGATAAGATAAAGTGACAAAGTTATGATATGGTTTGTTGGGAAAGCTGGTACATAGTGCAAGACTCACATTGTTCAGTCTGCTTGCGTGTTCTTCAAATATAAAGTCAGTACAGCGTCCTTCCTGCTCTTGTCTCTTTCTTTCTCGTTAAGATTTTCCTTTTTTTGTATGTGTTGGCTTCTGGCATTTTTTTTTTTTACCTTGTAGTGTTAACGTACTTCAGGAAGTTCTTGGCCAAAGAAGTATTTAAGTGTAGAAAAGTCTATTTTCAATAAGCAGTGCAGGGTGAATACAGATGCAATGTCAAATAACTCAAGGCACAACACATTCCGTGCCTTGTTTAGTCTTTTGTTATTCTTGTCTGTGTTCACTTCACAACACTCGCCAAGCTCATAAGCCCAAATTTCTACCGTGTGTAGAAAGAGGACTTCAACGTATCTGGCACATTAAAACCAATAACCACGCAGTCTTTGATCAGAGTTGCTATTGCTGTACCTAATTAATTCACATATTATTTAGATGCGACTCCTAAGTGAGAAAAAAGAAACAGGCTGACAGTCACTTAATAACGGCTTTCCAATGTGCTGTCTTATCAGAGCACAGATAACTAACCTAGCTAACGGCAACAGCTTTGCCCCCAAAAATAGAAGAAATGTTGTTATGCAATAAACTAAAACTGTCCCATTGCAACTATTATAGTCTTTGGGGTGACAAGCAATGTAGCCAGGGAAAATTTTATTATCACCTGCAGCAGCATCCAATCAAGTTTTCTATCTAAGAGCAGTACTAGAAGGTTTAGTCAATTCAATATTGGCCATTTCATTCTTTTCATTCATGATGCCTGTACACTTAAAAAAAAAAAAGAAATTACTGGTTACAGTCTATTCTCTGTTGAGCTGACCTTGCCTCGTGATGTAACATATCATCGTTCATGTATTATTCGTTGATAAAATAAAGGATGCCACAAGGTCATTTCATCAGACTCCCTTAAATCAGCCTTTCCATGTAATATACTTCTTTCCTTTTCTTCTTGTGCTGCTTGCCGATTTCTTGGTGTGTTGGTTGAGGTCACCTTTAACACTGCGTTCAATAAAATAGCTTGGCAATCTCTGGGCATGTGCTGACCCTAGAATTACAGGTTCGAACCCAAATGCAGCGGTCGCATTTTGATGGAGGCGAAATGGTGGAGGCCCGCGTACTGGACGATGTCAGTGGACGTTGAAGAACACCTGGGGGTCGAAATTTCCGGAGCCCTCCACAACAGTGTCTCTTATACTTATATCGAGTTTTGGGATGCAAAACCCCAGATATTATTATTATTATTATTAATCTTTGTGCATGCAGAACTTAGCATGTGGGCAAGCCCTGCTTTGACTAGACCTTCCCATCCAGTGTGCTGTACATATTTCAAAATGTGCACATATTAAAACAATTGATACAGCTGTAATACTTCCTGCTTCAACAGCTGTGATGCTTTTGTCACCTTCAATAGGCATGTGTGTCTGCAGTATTTGCTGCAAGTGGCTCGTCGCAATGAAAGTTCAATGCTCATGCCCATCTGCTACGATGATCCTAATACTCAAAAGCGCAATGAGCCAACCACACGGCTGCTCTTCTGGCTTCAGAAAATGTGATTCCAGGGAATCTCCTATTTTGTCCATTTCCTACATGGTTTAGACTGATAAGTTGTTTGAGAAAATTTCAAAACCGAAACATTATTTCTAGGCTCGATTCCCCCCCTCCCCCTCAACACCAAGTTGTTTCTTTGCTCCATATGAATTCAATTTTCATTTATGTCACAATTACAGCACTGCAGTTGTAAACTGCAAGTGATTTCTTTTATCATTTAATTGGATTCAATGTCTGTTGGTTTCATTGTAGGCCTCAGTGAATCTCTTTCCTATAAATATGACATTAGAAAGTGCTGTTAATAGTGTTATGGGAGAATTCATTGTTTAACACTATCACAGGTTAATTGATAGATAAGAAAAATGAGCTCAGAGCTTCATTCTAAGTTTTGTGCGGAAATCTCCGCACTTGCCATCACGGATTTCAGAATGTATTTTCGTATTTTGGCGACAATGGCCTAACAAATTTGTCTGAAATTTAGTAAGTTAAGCCACTGGCCCCTTCAGAGCACAATGCATTTCATTTTTACGCAATAGGAATGGCGTGTGGGCTGGCAGGTGTCCTCGAAATCACAGGGATTGGCGTGAGAATTGCAAGGTTGCACCCCCACCCGTATTTCCTTTTTGCGTGTTTTCTCGCTTATAAATAATCTCATCTAGTCAGCTGCCATTGCTTCACTTAGCTTGTCTTGCCCAAAGGTGATTTTCGGGATATGAAAGAGTAATCCACTAATACAGGAAATATCATTCCTCTTTTTAGTGTCCTTTTGAATCCTGTTCATTATCGTGCAGGTACTAATGGGGGCGTTTCCCCGGAAGGCCTGTTGTTCAGTGCCCTGGGCGGGGCCTTCATAGGCTTGGTTTATTACCTTGCCATGGCTCTGTTTGTGGGTCCGAGCAGCCTGCAGGCAGCGTCGGCACAGTGGCTGGTCATCCTCGTAGGCACCTTGGCCGGCTTTCTCGGATCCCTGCTGGACTCCTTCCTTGGAGCAACCCTGCAGTTCTCAGGTGAGAAAGCGTGCCTCTCTTTTTGTGAATATAAGGGATCGCCGCCTGATGGAGATGTTTGCTGACATTTCCAGCTCTTGCCTCGAGTACAAATGTCCCGCCGCGGTGGTCTCGTGGCTAAGGTACTCGGCTGCTGACCCGCAGGTCGCGGGATCAAATTTCGGCTGCAGCGGCTGCATTTTTTATGAAGGCGAAATTGTCGTAGGCCTGTGTGCTCAGATATGGGTGCGCGTTAACGAACCCCAGGTAGTCAAAATATCTAGAACCTTCCACTATGGCGCCTCTTATAATCATATAGTGGTTTTGGGACGTTAAACCCTATATATCAATCGTCAATTGAGTACAAATGGCAACCACATGCTTTTATAAATGTCTGAGCATTTCTTTGGCTACCTTACATGTATACGTTGCCTCATTTTAGTGAATGCGTAGAAGGAATGAAGAAAATCTAGTTCCTACAAGAAATGGAGCCCTCACTTGCAGCATTGTAAGCAAGCCGATTCTCGGTGTAATGCGAACAGCTAGGAAAGGGCATGGTCTACTTGTGGTGGTAGAGCTAAGTAGCCCTAACACTATCTGACTATATCAAGGTTTGTTTACGGCTAATTTAGGGAGAGATAAAAATATCCAGATATATATGCAATATGTTCATCAGCAACAAAGCCAGGTAGAGGCATCATTATGCTGTGTGTTATGCTGTGGAGGTGGAATTATGTCGCTGCAAAAGTGGCGGTCCAATTAGCATGTTGCCAAAGTGTGCCCCAGCAACCGTAGCAGGAATTAATTGGACTATGAGTGTTATACCAGTTACATTGCACAAATGTCTTGGATACTCCTTGTGCGTAGGTCCTGATTAAACTTTTTAATGTCCCTTCAGAAAAAGAAACTTCAAATGAAAAAACAAAGGAAAAGCTTGCGTGAGTTGTCTGTTCATGAGAGCAGGGCCCCTAAAATAAATTTTTTAAAATTGTGAACTTCTGATAATTTGATGCTTGTTAGTACGATCATTTTATTATTTTGACATTGACCAGATGTCTTTGTTGGTACAACTGTCATTGTTTCGATCCTAAAACTGCCTTTCACAAGATAATTCAAATTTGGCTCACCATTCGCGATGGTGATCACAGTGTTGCTTCTAACATTGTAGCAGGGACGAAGCACATGTAATTTCTCATCAAAATACTAGTCTATTTCTAACTAGAGCAGTGCTCCCTCGCGCTGCTGCCCATTCTTGCCCATGCTGTTCGCGCCGTCACCGAAATTTTTAGAGAGACCACGCTGCTGCCGCGCAATAATTGCAGCGCGCCGCTGCTTATCTTATTTTAACTTGAGTGAATAATCTGGCCATAAAATACATCACTTCACCTTCTTTTCTGCACCTTTAACACTTTTCAGAGCGGCATTTGCAGTGTCTTGATTTCTCTCTTGTGTCTGTGTTTGCGTGTCCTGTCTATATAAGGACCCTAAAACAGTTTTTGATGATAAACAACGGAGAATGTTATTCTCTTCTATCGTTTCTCGTTCTTTTGGTGCTCTGCGTTATGCCAGAAGGGTGATTCACGTGTATCATTAGGGCACATCCTCTCGAATGGTCTGTATACGAGAAATACTAGTTGTAAATTGTTTTCTACCCTATTTTACCATGCATTTGCCCCTTCTCCGCCCGTTCTCCCACGCATCTCGCATGATTATCAGACGCAATGAACTTGTGATTTTGTTGTATTTTGTGAGTTTCTGACTGCACAAGTAGAAATAAGAGTGTAGCCCACAAGCTTGAAATTCTGATAGGCTCTAGGATTAGATGTTACATTGCGCTCGTGCTCTATGAAAACATAAATGTCGAACAGATATAGCCTGTAAAATTGTGCTCAAGGGAGTGTAGTGGAGTGTAATGGAGAACAAAGACAAAAAAATAGGCTCTGGATTATTTCATTCTCCTGATGAACAAATTCTTTATAGCATAGACAATGCAGCTGTCCATAAAACAGGCCAGCCTCTCTTGAGGGTTTCTGTATATTTTTTGTTTTCGATTGAGAGAATTATATGAACACTCTCTACAGGCTTTCATCGTCGCTGTCATGTTTTGTGTGATGTCCACATAAATGACTTTTATAGCATACTGTATGCTGTTGCCACAAATAAAATCCCGCGAGGGCTTGCGAGGAACACTGCTGAAGCATAGATGAAACAAGTTACCTGCCTCCATCACTCGGAGGGCACATGCAATAATATCACTCCGCCTGCGATGGCTACCGTCGATTGCTCTTCAACTGGAAAGGAGGCCTCTCTTTTGCTCGACGAAGAGATACTCAGGTGGGGGGCTGCGTGATTTGATCCGCAACTGTGAACTTTAATTATAGGGGCGCGGTTACGAGTGCACTTCATCAGGCATCAGAGAACGGCTTGCATATCCTTCTGCGCACTATCATATCACTGCACAAACACTGCCCTTTTCCCGAGAGCGGCCGTGTTCCCATACATAAGCGTTTTGCAGTTGTGCGAGATCAGATGAAAAAGAGTTACAGTCGAACCTCGATATATCGAACGGCACGGCGATCGCGAAATAGTTCGATATATCCGAAATTCGATATAAAAGAATCATGAAAAAAATGCGTCAACAGCTTGCTGAAAACGACCAATGAACAGATCAAGCGTGGTGCAGTAAATACTCACTTGAAGATTCAAACGTAGTATTTATTGTGTTGGTTTAAAATATTGAAAAAGAGTAGCCTGCTTTTTGTTGGCCATGGCGTGTTTGACGACTGCGTCCTCAATATAGTCCAGGCAATCCATAAGTGATAGGCCGGTGCCTTCAATTGCGCCGCAGTGGCGGCGCACAAGGGCCAAGGCAGCTACGACCTCAGCTGATGTCAGGAGCGGGGCACCATTAGCGCTTGCGGGATCCACCTCGGCAGAGTCTTCATTTGGCCGCTCAGCAGTAGCTTCGGCGACAATCTCCACATCCGTGAGCTCCGCCGTTGGGAGTTAGGCCTGTCGTGGCCCAACTCCGAACAGTGCGCGACAGGCCTAACTCCGAACGCACGAACACTGCGAGCACAACGACCGATGCCTGTCGATGCTACGGGGAAGGAGCTTGCAACAAGTGCGCAGTGTGCCGTTGACACCATAGAGACTGCAACGACTGCAAGCTGCAAGGCTGCGGCGTGAGTCCGGGTGTAAAGCGCGCACATGGCGCGCCCAGGCCGGCTCGCCTGACTGCTTTCCCTTTCCCGGCGGCAGCGCGGGCCGCGTCCGAGACAGTCGTCTGTGTCCTTTCCCTTCTATACTTTCCTCCTCAATCCTTACCTCCCGCTCCCCCTTCCCCTGCGGTACAGTGGCTAGAATAGGGAAGCGTGATGAATGCGCCGGCTAGCGCATAACGCCTTGGGAGGAAACCGCCAGATGGCGCTGGCACACGCTTGCACGTCACCTAAGGCGGCGCTGCACTGCGCAGAGACGGCAATCAAACACGCGCGGGGGCAATGTGAAACTTTTAAAATATATTTTCTTGCTCGTTAAAATATATTTTCTTGCTCGTGGATGGCCTCAAAAGCCGACCGAGAAAATATGTTAATTAGCTTCTGAAAAACAGGATGCCTATGCGGGTGCACGACTGATCTGAAATATCGTCAGGTCGACAGGGTGACGAAAGTGAGCGCGTAATGGTACTGAAACATTTTATCGATGAGAAGTGGTAGAAGAGTGGAACGATGAGCTCAGTTGTGAGCCATTGCTTGCAACACTTTTCACGGCGAACCACCATTTTCTCAAGCACTAATCTGTGAATAATTAATTGATGATTGATTGATATGTGGGGTTTAACGTCCCAAAACCACCATATAATTATGAGAGACGCCGTAGTGGAGGGCTCCGGAAATTCCGACCAACTGGGTTTTTTTTAACTTGCACCAAAATCTGAAACCTGTAAATGATGCCCCATCAATCAAAGCGTCATAATCATGAGGCGAGAATCACGAGCGGTGTCTGAATGAAGTCCTTTAATTTCTGCACACAGGTGATAGAACACATTTCCGAGTAGTGACTCACTATCTGTTTACAACAATTTATTCTTAATAATTTGTTGCACGTCCTTTTTTATCCCCAAGAAAAAAGTTTATTAGTTCACAAGCGCCCCACAGAACATTGGGCTGCAAGCCTAGGTTATGTGCCTGAGCTTCAGGCACTTTCTCTTTTCATGGGAAGATGCTCGCTTTTTGTGGAGCACCTTTGTGTAAATACGCAAATGGGTGAGCAGAAAAAACTTGTTTACTTGATTGGTGAAGCTCGGACCGTGTTGTGTGCAGCCCAGTGTGACATTTTTTTTTTTCAAGCAGGAAACAAGCTCTTCCAAGCTGTCACTGTGAAGCTCGTTGTAGCTAAAGCACTTTGAAAAAGTGATTTCAAAGGCGTCGACAAATGCGAAGAGCTTCTCCGAAAGTCCTACCTATAGGCGTCCACACGATGGAGGCAAAGGGGGCTGGCCACCTGGGACGGGGGCGCTAAATCTGTTCTATCTAGATGGGTGGCGTAAAATCTGCCTCATACACTGATTTGATATAAAGGAGACACCTTGCAATAAACATTCGCCCCCCCTCCCCTGAACGGCAAGCACGCCCATGGGTGTACCCCTTTCAATGCGAATAGTTTCGCCCATCTAAGTGTGCTCGAAGTGCCGGGAGATGTACCTCTCGCTGAAGTGCAGCTCGCACACAGCCGAGCTATCTTGAAGCAGCTTGTCAGCGCGCGGGATCGCTCTACGCCACTGCGCTAACAGAGCTTCGTCCTTTGGAACGCCGAACAACGCATGCTTCTTTTCAGCTGACTAATAGCCTGTAGTGAACCCGGGGGACGAAGCAATGACTTTGTTTTCGCGCCATCAGAGTGCATACAGAAGCACTGGTGTCAGAGTGCCACCGCAATGAAAAAAAAAAAAAAAAAGAGGACGAACGCGCCCGACCAAACTGTCGGAAACATGCAAACGACGTTTAAACGATTGCGCG